ATGTGGTTAATTGTTATGTGTTTAATTGAATTATTTGTTTATTTTAATTATGTGTTTAAATTGTTTTATTTTAATTAATTGTCTATTTGAATTGTTTGCTAAAATGATGTGTAATTGTTTGAAAGTAATTGTTAGGATTAAATGAAGTAACTGTTTGTTTTATTTTATTTTAAAAGAGTTGGATTTAGATAGTAGTAATGGACTAACCCAATGGGTCGCATGGACTACTTGAATAGGAATCTTGATGGGTATGGATGATTACCCATGGATGTTAGTTTATGTATATACATACATACATACATATATGTATAAGGATAGTTTTATTATTATTATTATTATTTAGTATTAGTATTAGTATTTATAATAATGTTAAGTATAGTCGGTTAGGTATATATATATTAATGTTTTCTAAATAGATATGTATATATATGTAAACAATTATATATATGTATAAGTTTATTTTCCTTCTTTATATTTTATTTTTCCTTTTATTTTCTTTTCCCTTTTAAGGTAGCAGACTTAGAATGGAGGTAGGATTAGGTTAAATTGTGATATAGCCTATATATATGATATGTTATGTCTGTACAGGGGGTTATGTATTACGTGAATACATAGTTTTACAGAAAGAAATTGAGAGATAGAAAGGAGAGAGAACCGAGAGTTTTAGAGAGAGAAGAAGGAGCCGACCAAGGAAGGAAGAAGGCCGAACCAAGGAAGAAGGAAGGGAGATTGCTCGTGAGTATGACCGAGCAGTAGAGAGGTTCGACGGCAACCAAGGTCGCCGGAAAACAGAAGAAGAAAGAGGTTTAAGGTTTCAAGTCAAAATCCTTAAAGGCAAGTTCTTCTTCTAACTTTTCTCCTTATATCACATGCTATATACATACCTAGGACAATTCCATGATAAATAAACAGTAAAATCGAATACATATGCATGCTTAAATCATATTAGAACAGAGGCTATTTGTGAATATATGTTTATGTTCTTGATTAATATGTTCTTGAAATTTGGCATGATGTGTTGTTTAAACTCGATCTTTACATGCTTAAGGTTTCAAAATAAATTATTAAGGAAGTATGAGACTTAGACTGAAGCTTAGGACCCATAACAATGGAGTTTGGAGGAGTTGCAGGGGCTGAAAAATAAAGAGGACGACTCGTAGTAAGAATGAATCGACTCAGTTGCTGAGGGAGAAGGAGCCGACTCAGTTAGGAACTGAGCCTGCTTAGTTGGAACCGAGCCTACTCAGTTGGACTGAATATTGAATTTTGAAGTTTTAGGTTACCAGATGCTACTGTAATCATTTTAATGGATTAATTAGTCTTTATGGGATAAAATAGCTTCCTAGAGTGCATAGATTATAATTGTATGCTAAGGATGTGGATAATATAGAACTTTAAATAATTTATAAATTGATTAATGGATGAGTTTGATGTTTTAAAATTATTGTAACAATTGTAAAAGTTATTCAAATGATTTTAATCATGTATATGGAAGTTTACATAATTTAATTGAGATGTAGGTTATTTACTTGTAATGTAAGTTAACGACATGCTAATTAAATTGTTATTATTGCTTAAATAAAAGCAATAGATATCTGTATAATTGATACCATGCTATTTCTAAATTATTTGATGTGCAATTATATATGTTGCATCAATTGTTGGATATAGATGAATGCACGATTGTTAGGATATAAGGGCATATTATGGATGGATTAACTATTAAGTTAAGTCATATCTATTCGTGTCAGGTCACAAAACCAATTGGATGACATACCATTGAAATACTATGGCGGATAGTTTACTTTTATGTTATGGATATGATTTATATATATGAATATGTGCCATGATATGAGCTTGAATCTCAAGATCAGTGGTTAGGGAGCGTATATTGCTTGGGATGCATAACTGGATATAGTGGATAGTTGTGTGCCCTGGTAGATCATGGTACTCATGCCCAATATATGTGCGTTTTGCATGTTGCCTACTATTCAAGTTGAGGCCACCCTGTAGTCCAGTGAGAGTCATTTAGTGTGTATCTATATATGTACGGACTATGTAGTTATTATTGAGTTGAGTAGGATGTATATGTATATCGGGTCTCTGTTTGGGATGTAGTAGAGTAGAACTTATTCATGGGCCTAACCCACTATTATTTTTCAGGTGTTCGTCAGATCCAGACTTAGAGATTGTTTGTGCTGAGTAAAGACGACTTCACTCTTTCGATTCTACGTAGGATTCTTATTTTTGTTTGGTTTATTTCAGTTGCTTCTATTGGGATTTTATTAGAGGTCCACATTATGGATTTCTGAGGTGTAATCTAGATGGTTACTGGTATCAGAGAATTTATTCTATTGGATTATTTAATGGAGGATTTATTATTTAGTTTCTTTTCAGTTTTATTATTTATTCTTATTTATCTTTTGTATTTTGTGTTCGATTATTACCTAATTGTTTTGGTATCCATCGGTTTTGGGCTTGTGCCTGATTAACCCATGGCTCTATAACTTAGGGGTATCACAGGTTCATATTTTGGGTTCATCAGGTTTTTTAATTCGGGATGAGCTCGGGTTGCCTACCACATTAACCCCAAGCTCGACTCAAAATGAAACTTGGTTTCTAATTTTCAACCCAAGCCCGAACCGAAACCTAAGTAATTTTGGACTAGGCTCAAGTTGGACCCGTTTGAGTTGCGACCCTACTTAGAACACACATCCAGTTACACTCCCACACACAAAGATTAACTAGGATTGAAAGAACATCAAACACATCAATTTTTAGAAGCCCTCGACTTTTAACCTTTACTATATCACAAATAGCACAAGGAAATCTACCCAAGGTGTACAACAAGCTCACAAGTGTACACTCTTTCACTTGTTGCTGACCCTTACGACTATTTATATGCACTCACAAATCTACTTACAATAGGCCATTAAACAACCTAATAACTAGGTGGATGACACCTCATCCACTTAGGGTTTTACTAGTTGATTTGTTGTGTGCCAACAGGGCATGCAGTTGACACCCCCAACTACAAGGGCTTTGTTGGCACATGGCAACCTTTGCCACACTGCATAGGTAGTTGCCAATGCTATTCAATGACTCTTTCATGTCACTAATGTGGGAGAAATGTTCAATAACCACCTATGTGTTATCATGGTCAGAAGTTTCCACCATGCATAGTGGTTGCTAGGTGTGCCTGCCCTCTTACTCCCCCATGTTAACACATATGTGGGAGGTGCTAGCAATTACTCCTATTTTCTTGGAACCGTTTGCTAAAAAAGCCTATGCATACTACCTATAGGGTTCACGTGCCAACCAATGCCTTAGCCATGCCCAGCTCATGGCCTTGCCCCATGCCACCAATATGTTAACAACGAAATGGAACCTAACCCATGTCAAACCAATCTTACATTCCCTTACCTTGTGGCCGAATGCACTTGCCTTAACCAAGTCCAACTCATACGCACATGACTTGTCAAGCCTTGGTCTTTTGGGGCATGGCTCCAGCCATACCCACCTTAGCCATGCATCACAAGTTCATGTTCACCTTGTATACGCCCGTGAAGGCTTGTCAAGCCATAGTTGAATGCCATTTATACCTTGTTTGAGCCACAACCTTGCCAAAAGGGCAAGTTAGCACACCCAAAGGTCCACACATGGCTTGAGGAGCGCGTGCAAGAAATGATTGATGGATGATGCATGTCTCATTGCCTGAAGCACGAATAAGGACACGGGTACAACACCATACAAACATGTTGATACAACAAATGTTAAAAAAATAGGACATCGGTACGGTATGGATAAGTTAATAATAATAATAATAAAATATATATTATTATACATATAAATAACAATTTTTTTTTTATTTTTTTATTATCTATATAATCATGATTAAAATTATTAATTTGGAGTTTAGAGCTATATTTTTGTTATTTTTGTTTTCTTAAATTTTATATTATTTTTTTAATTAATCCATAATATATTTTAAATTGCATTGAATGCCATTCTTCTAAAAAAAATAATTACAAATTCACTCCGTCACATCCTGAAAGTGTCCAAAATGTATTCTTGTTATATCCACGTCGTGTCCAACCAAAAAGTAAAATATTCAATTTTCAGGATACTTCTAGCCGTATTTGACACGTGTCTAGACCGTATTCGCATATCCTACAAATTAATGAGTGCCCTATATCGCCATGGCACCATAAGAAAAGTATTTCTCCTTCATGGCCTATAACATTTTATCAATCCAACAAAATAGACATAAATGGGTGAGGGAAGAGAATGATACTTATTTGTAAAATGACATTATTACTCTTCAATAATTATTTGTTAATTAATTTCAACGAGGGTCTAATTAGGGATGCAAAATCCCCAAACCCAGCAGTCCCCGCCCCATCCGCCTCGTCCTATTTAGGGCGAGTTTGGGGACCTTTTTATGTAAATGGTGATAGGGATGGGGGTAGTTTTTGCCCTATCCCTACCCAGCCTCGTTTAGGGTATACATTTACTAAAATACCCTTATATAATTATGATATATTACTAAATTAGATTAAGTATTGATAAAAGCACTTCTGAAACACACTTAAGAAAAATTATAACTTGGTTGTGTTGAATCTTGAAATTTGAGAATAAGAAAAATTATGTGCAAAAAAAAATTATAGTATGTGTTTACGGGGGCGGGGAGGGCGACTGCGAATATGGGGATATGAGTGAAATTTTAAACGGAAGTGGTTCGGATAGGAATGAAAAAATTCACCTATAAGGATGGAGAATGAGCTACATGCCCCGCCCCATTGTCATCCCTACGTCTAATCATAAAATAATATAAAAACTTTTTATTTTCTTCTCTCTTACCAAATAATAGAAAGGTGGATTTTCTCCTTCTTTCACTTAACCAAACAATTTTTTATTTTTTTTTTCAAAAAAAAATAAAAAAAAAGAAACGAAAGAAAAAAAGAAAAAGAAAGCGTATATTTCCTTTCTTATGGATGTCATTCATACTTTCCTTTGCGTCCACTACTATCTTAGGCCCCAAAAGAAAAATTTATACCTTAAATTAAGGTGAACAAACCCCTCAATCTTTCCAACTTACTCTTATTGCACCCCTTGTTGTATAAAGTTAAAGTCAGCATATTCTAGGAAGAACCAGGTTTTGGTTAACTTGTTGTGCACTTCTCACTATTTGGGGCTTCATTTTGCAGATGCTGGCGATCTGATATTGGGGATATACATATCTATCTCCAGCGCCACCCACCGCCAACACAACGACCTTTTCGCCGCCGTGAAACCCTAGTTCACAGCCACCGCCACAACTCACCACCGGAACATTCATCATTTGCCGCCATCGTCGCCCCCAAAAACCACCATCCCACCACCCGCGAGCACCACCTCCCCCACCGTAAACCCTTCATCGCCGCCACCCTTGTTTGCCTCATACATCCCGGTGGTCGTTCTTGAGAACCTTATCTGCGACTACTGGGCCATCTTTGTCTGCATCTGAGTCACCAATACTCGGTGTACGTTTCGTTATATCTGAGCACGAAGCTATCGGTGATCAAGCCTAAGTCACTGTAGATTTATTTCACTGTCTTAGCCGATTTGCAACAAAATCGCTACATAGGTACCCCCAATTCCTTTCGTAGTTCCATTGTAAACCAGAACCGGATTGGATCTACCCTTTTAGGGAACAACTATTATGTGCTCAATAGTCAATTTTCAGTGCATTTTATAATGCACAATTATTCGTGATATAAATATAGTTTTTACTTGGAAAGAGTGAAGTTTTGCCAAAATGATCTTGGTTATCATTTATGTTGACAAATCTACCTGAGAATATTATTTTCAGCAATCCAAAGTTCTCTGTTGAACTTTCAGTTTCATCAAACATTCCCTCTACTTATCTGTGTATATATTGATGTAGTTCTAGAATTTTGTTAACAGGTTCAATTAGTCTTTCTTCATAAGATTTTATTGTTGGGCGTTCTCATTAATTTTAGCATACTCAAGTGAGTTTGCTGTTTTTCTCTTTGTTTTTTATATCTTCCTTGTGCTGCTTTGTGTTTCAATTTTCTTCATGTTGATTTCACATATGTTAGACTCGGTGTCTTCTTTAGTGTGTTTGAAGTCTTGTGAATTGGCTATCAGTGAGTTTTATTCTTGGAATTGCATGCTTTGGTGTTATTTTAATTGGGTTGGGCAACTATGTGGTTCATTTCTCATGTTAGTGAATCTTAGCTTCCTTTCTTTATTGCCTAGTCAGTTGTCATTGTGTATGAACATATTTTCTTGCGTTGTTGAAAACTGTAGGTGTTTCCTCGTCAACCCACTGCTATATTTTGGCAGCTTGGTGGGGGATGCACAGGGTGGATGGTGCTCCGAGTAATTTTGTTGCTTGAAAGCTGAAAATATTGATACCTAAGGCTAATCTCAGAATAAGGGATATGGAAAGTTTTTGGTAATTTAGAAGGGGAAAGGAATAAGGAAGAAATTAACGAGTCGGATTAATTTGTAGGAGAAAGCGGGTTGAGTGCGAAAGAGACTGATAGGAGGAAGGAGAGAAATTACAGGGATTCAGGGTCTCCTTTTTTGTTTCCTTTTTGAGGACATGGGGGTATGGATTGTGTCTGAATCAAACACTTTATGTAAATAATGCCAATATTAGGTCTATCTTCACTTAAGCTAGAATGCTGTCTTATTCTTCTAGGAAACTGCTTTCATAAATATCTAAACTAAGAAACCATCTTTAATCACTGACTGAAATAAAAAGAAAACTCTTCAATGCCCCATCGGGCCATAACTTCAGAGGAAGCCACCAAACCTTAAGTGGTATCACTGCAAGCCCTAGCAGAATAGGAATAAACTGTAAATTGGGGAACATTCACATAAAAGACTAGCTATGAATATCCAAACCATTAATTGAAGCTTCAAACGAATTAGAGCATCCAAAATCCAATTTGAAATTCTCAATTAACTTCTTTAATCACAAACAAGGGAAGCTATAAACCAAATTTTAACCACCAATAGCTTCCCTCAAAACACTGTCAGTAGATCAAGTATGGCCGGGTGTCACTTTGGATAGCTTCTTTTTCCTGGTGTGCAGGTGTGAGCGTTTGAGGATATGCGTTGTTTGTTGGGGGGCGTAGTGTCTCATGGAGTTAAGTAGCGAAAACAAAAGCTTTGAACAAGGACAGAGGATACCAAAAAGAAAACAAAAGCTTTTGAACAAGGACAGAAGATACCAAAAAAAAAAAAGGCAGTGTAAAACATTGCCAATCATGGGAGAATGGTTCCCAGCTGACAAGTTCACCAGTCCCTTTCGTTAATTGGTTAAAAATCCTTACACCAGGGTAACAGAAAATAGAAGTCCAGCATAACAATGAATACCAATTGTAACATGAAAGCCATCACTTATGCTTTTTGTTTATTTCTAGAAACTCTCCCCATTGTGTTAATGAAAATCTTTTCGAAGTCTTTATGCTAATCCTTTTCATGTATTCCAATAGACATTTTGGTTCCATCCATTTTTCATTTACCCCTCTTTTTCTGTGTCATTGCAATCTCATTTTCAACAAAAGACAGAAACCAAATTATTTAAAGCTTAAATATGTAAGGCCTTAGAAGCCTAAGAATTTGAACTGTTCTGTCAAAAGTATGATCCATCAAAACAACTAATGAATTAAGCACAAATAACATTACTTAATTAAAAGCCATCAGTTCTGATATTAGAGTCATGAATTAGCATTTTTAGTCAAAGAGACAGATATAAAATCCTGAAAATTTTGCAGAAAATTTTACTTATCAAAAAAAAAAAAAGGTTTTTGCAGAAAATTTTACTAGTTATAAAACATGTGTGAGTCCAATCAAACAAAGCCACAGGAAAAGCCTATGTGCTCAGGGCAATCCAAGCAGATAAAAAAACCTTGGGATTCCTGTATCGTATTGCGAATACACCACTTAAACTAGTTTAATACATTTAAAGCACTTGTAATGGCCTCAGAGACCCTTTTTAGTGTAGCTTTCCCTAAGCAAGTAAAAGCAATTAAGAGAAGAGATATATCACTTCTTTATTCGTTCCTCGCTTTTAGGTTCACTAGGCAACTAGTAGAATACCTTCTCTTGCCAGAGGTAACTAAGGAACTACTACAGAATATCATCTGGAAGCCAAGAGAGTGATGTCCTCCCCTTGTGAGGAGGATGAGCAAAAGCCTATCTTTTCTATATAAATTAATCTCTACTACCTTGCAGAATTAATTCACTTCTGTGATCAATAAAATGTTTGTATACGAGTAAGATAAAAGCATTATAGTTCTCTTTTTTTGGTGGTGTATTTGGAAGGAGCAGAATAGAAGATCTTATGATGGGGAGGAATCCTCCATTGGGGCTTTGAAATTTCTTATTATTAGTTATCTTTTTAGTTGGGTGATGGGGAGAAATTGTATATCTATAGAGGAAATTGTTGATTTTTTGGGTTCCTTGGGTGCTTAGGATCCTTTCTTTGGCTTCTGCCCTTGTATAGTCTTTGGGATGCGTTCCCCTTTTGAACGCTTTCTAATGTATTCTTACTTATCAAAAAAAAAAAAAAAAAAAGAGAAAAGAAAAGAAAAGAGAGAAGATAAAAGCATTATTTTCCCCTTGAAAGCTAGTAGTTCATGACTATGAACTCCAAAGCCCCCAGACAAGCCTGAGAAGTTCATACCTCGCTTGAGATGCTTGGATAGCTAGCCCCCTTTGTTTTTGGTGGGGATTATGGCACGAAAGGAATAGTTCTTTTGATGGAATTGAAGCTCTGATATGGGTGTTAAAACACCTCATCTTGAGCTCTCTCTTTTTGCTCGATATTTTTGGATAGTCTGAGATAATAGAGATGTAGTGTTTTTTTGTGCAGTTCTTGGGTTTGCTCTCCTCTGAGCTTTTTTTTTATTGAAATATTACTTACAAAAATAAATAAATAAAGGGAACACTCTTTAGCTCAGGAAAGGGAACAAAAGAGTGGGTTGATAGTCAGAGAGGAGGAGTGATAAGAATAGGAGTTTGACAGGAATAATTTAATGTTGGGAAAGGAGATTAGTTGGAAACAAAAGACTCAAGAAAGGTACAATGATGGTGCACACTTTCATTGGGAAATAAAATGATTAATTAGATATGCTGGCTCGTTATAGATTGGATAGAGGTTAGAAGGGAGGCGAATATTAAAAATGATATAGTGCATGTCTCTGAGAAGATGTACATCAAGACTTCTAATATGATATCTAAATGTGCATAACTATGACACGCCCGTGATGTTCTCCCAGTAATAGTGGGAATTGGTCAGGAAGGATGTTGTGGAAGAAGGGTTCGAGAGGTGGGAAATCACTTACTATGATGAGGCCACCAGGAATGTAGACCTAGGTGGAAGTCCAAGCTATCACACGAGACTCCTCAAAGGAGGTTCAAGGAAGGGAAACGAGGACAGTTCTTGTAATCTCTTGTGAAGTTAAGACAGGTTTCTCTTTGTTTTCCTATGGTAGTTCGCTTCATAAATGGAACTATTAACTCCTTTTGTACTAGGTTGTCTCCTGATAAAGACCATGAGTGAAAGGGATTGACCACCGGTTGTCGCCTGATTAACCCCAGGGTACTAAAAGGGTAAGATGTGACCCCATTCGGAGGCCTAAGATAAATTGCCTGCCTCATCAGGGAAAAGGAGGGGGGCAAACATTTAATTTGATTATGATAAGGGAGATTTCGCATTAAAATGCGAGGGTTGTGGGTACTTGCTCTACTTTAAGAGAGATCATTTCTCTTCCTTTCTCGGTGATCAGCTAAGAAGCACCTGCTCTTTCGGGCCGCAGCAGCAGCAGCTTCTTGACAATCTTCAAACCTCAATCACCAGACCAATATTCCCTTGGGTCCCATAATGAGGTTACTACCGTGAGGTCTACCCCGAGGCACTACCCCTTCCTCGAATTTTATCCGGGAAGAGAATCTCCTCGAGGTTTATCCTTAGAGAGGCTGTCCTCGAGGGCCTTTTGGTTATTTCTCAAAGTTTATCTGTAAAGAAGTGCTCCTAAGGGCTTTCGGTTCTTTCATCTTAGAGGCTTATACGCAGACAGAAAGTCCTCATAACTATTAGGTGGCTTTGAGGTTTATGCGTAGAGAGGAGGTCCTCGTTAAAGAATGCTCCCTAAAGGCTTTGGGTATCTCCATTGGAGCTTCATTCCGACCTGAAGCTACACTTGTTTGCACTTGTAAAGTAAATTATAAATTATAGAATTAATGTTGAGGGTTTCCCCTTTTGGGGAGTAGTCTTCGAAGGCCCTACCATAGCAACTATCACGCTTGTTCCTTGACTTTTAGTCTTGTGGTGGGCCCTATGTAACACCGTTGTTTGCACATCATAGTTGAGTTGACGAGGTCTATGCCACGTAGTTGTTGTCAAACCCTGAGCTGGTAGACTGGGTCCCACAGATGTCATAGCAATCTGTCATTATTTTCATGACTTGGGTGAGTTTAAAAGGAGCTTGAATGCCTCCTTTACTGCTTTGACTCACAAGGAGAGCTTGATCGTGCAATTCAAGGACTTGGATCAATTAGTTTTGTTAGAGGAGTTCATAAAATTATTACTACACTGCCTAGCCTTGAGAACAATTAGAGCAGTAGATAGTGTTATTTAATTCTCGAAATGCCTTTGTTGGAGGTCATCAATCGAGAATATAATCTTGTGGCTGATGAGTGTGTTGTCTACAGAATTTGATAAGTTGGCCGGTGTTTATTTGTAAGCTTGTCAATGTAAAGGCATGCTGTTATATCAAGTTTTGCATATAATGAAGAGGGCTCGTTTCGAGAGGAAATGAATAAATTTTTGTACAATGAAGTTTTCCATTTTGATTAAGGCTGGCTGGATTATTTGACAGTTGACGTTGCATTACGCAAGGGGACCTTTTTTCGCTGATGGAAGTTTCAAGTAGAATGTTTGGTTGCTTATTGTTTTTTATACTGGAAATTGGAATAAGTGGGTGCTTCTTTATGTTGGCAACTATTATTAGGGTCTTGACTGGGGTCTCTTCCTGCCACTAATCTGGGATAGTTTTAGAGAAGGTATGTACATGTTGAAGAGCATATTAAGGTGATGATTGTTGCCAAAGATGAAAAATGGTGGTAACAATAAGACTAAGGTGATGATTGTTGTCAAAGATGAAAAATGGTGGCAACAATAAGGCTAAGTTGATGATCTTGGTTAATTTAATGACTGATAAAGTGATAGTGGGTTGTTGAAGAATTTGAGGTAGATGGTCTGTGAAGATTAACGGATAGAGGGAAGGGAGAGAGAAAGGTGGATACCAATGACAATTTGAGATGATAAAGTTTGAATGGATAAACAAAATATAGGTCGTTTTGTAGTTCTGCTACACAACCATATGTTGATCAAAAGGTGGTTTGACAAAAGAGGGTTTTTTGAAACCTTCTTCTAGATGGAAGATTTTTTGGCCTGAAAATTAGTTCAAGAGAGTTAGTTGCATAAATTGTGCAGTACATGGCTTTTTCATAATTTCTCCTAAACAAATAATCATTTGGTTTGTTTCCAGCCTTCCCCTTTTCAGCACCGTGTAGGTGAGACCAACACTGAGTAATGATATATTTTTTTCTTCTAATTGCTGTGGCTGGTTGTATTCATAAATGTTTGAGGCTACTTGTTTTATTCCTTTTATTTGTTAATTTATCAAATCTTAACCTTTCATTTAACTATGTTATGCAGGAAGTTATTTGTAACTCATCATAGAGATTTGAAAAAACAATCGTCCTGTGTTTTTCTTGTAATTATATATGGGCTGAGGTGTACATTTCATGGGAGGTGTAGAGGATGATGAACCACCCCCGTCAAAACGTGTGAAAGTATCCTCTGGAGAATTGAGAGGTCTTTCAGACAGTACATCTCTTAGGGAGCCTGCAACTCGCTCGTTGAGTGACTTAATGGCTAGGCTCCTACCGTCCCAAGGAGATGAAGAGATGGTTGGCTCGAAAGGAGTTATTAAAAAGGTGGAATTTGTTCGAATTATAGCTGAGGCATTATATTCTCTTGGCTATAAGAAAACTGGAGCACATCTGGAGGAAGAGTCGGGAATAACCTTGCACTCCTCTGTAGTAAATTTGTTTATGCAGCAGATTCTTGATGGTAATTGGGATGAAAGTGTAGCTTCATTGCATAAGATTGGTCTAACGGATGAAACTATCATTAAGTCGGCAACTTTTGTTATATTGGAGCAAAAGTTTTTTGAACTTCTGGATGGGGAAAAAGTCACGGATGCTTTGAAGACATTGAGGACTGAGATTGCACCTCTTTGTATAAATAATAATAGAGTCCGTGAGCTTTCCTCCTGCATTGTATCTCCTGCACAACGTGGACTTGTAGGGTTTCCCAGTGTAGATAATGGGGGGTCAAAATCTCGGCCAAAACTGCTGGAGGAATTGCAGAAATTGCTTCCGCCAACAATTATGATACCAGAAAAAAGGTTGGAGCATCTTGTTGAACAGGCTCTTAACTTGCAACTAGATGCTTGCATGTTTCACAACTCTTTGGATAGGGAAATGTCATTGTACACTGATCATCGGTGTGGGAGAGACCAGATTCCTTCTCAAACTTTACAGGTTAGGACATGTTTTTCTGATCTGAGTTTGTTTTTTATTATTTGGTGTACGAACACTATAATTACATGTGAGCAACACTTCAGTGATGGAGCTTTACATGTTTATGGCAACACAAATTATGGTACATTTAACTTCGATTATTATTATTATTTTGCAATAGATAATAGTAGTAGATCTTTAGGCCTTTTATGCGGATATATTATTTCCCTGGTCTAGTACTACTATATATGTTTATCTGCTCCAGACACATGTAACTGTTGGCTACTATTTTAAATTTGATTTATCTGAATCCTGGAACACAGGAATGGTGGAGAACGTTATAAGACGTTTCCATTAGAATATCATTTCTTTTGATTATTATTATTATTTATAATTTTTAACTAGCTATGCAAGTCAATTGCTCTGAAAATGAATAAAGTTCTAGGATGGGAGGATTCAGGGAGAGGGTAGCAAAGAAATCTTGGGCATCACTTATAAGCTAGCTGGGGAGGTAAATTGGGAAAGTTTTCGAGGAAGTTATATGGAGTGTCGTCATTAAATCTTAGAATTTTCCTGTTAAATGTGGGGTTTCTGTTCCTAGGATTTAATATTATCAGTCAATCATTTACAGTGAAATTGATTGGTGAAAGGAGGGGTCAGGGGATGGGGTGTTATTATATGGTTGACTTTTTGAGGATTATACAAGAATTTCGCAAGGTAATTCTGGTAACGCAGCAAGAATTTCCCAAGGTAATTCTGGTAACGGAGAATGTCCCACTTTTATTTTTATGGTTGTATGAAATGTTATCAGGGAGGGCAATTGTTAGATGATAGATCGTCAGTCAGATCGTTATATCTTAAATGGCATTATCTAAATAGTCAAGATTTTGGTTAGACAATAATGAACATATACCTTTGATCCTTTTGCATTCTGACTGTGTTAAATTTGCATTCTGATCCGAGTATCAAGAGTACGGATAATATATATATTTTTTGGAAGTTGAGTGCGGATCATATTTAAATTGCAGGTAAATGCATTTATATAGAGAAACTATGAAGGCGCACTTGCCTCAGTAAGATTCACTTCACTTCATTGATTCTGTGAGGAGTTCTTATAATATGCTCTTTAAAGTATGGCCTTCATAGCAAATTAAGTGATACGGAATGTTGTCTTCCAATTCCAATCTTAATTGGTATTATGTGGTACATATAATTACTTTCTAGAATTCTAAGTTACGGGTGCAAAGATCTACTATGCCTAATCTTTTTGTTCTATGAAATTTTTTACTTATAAAAAAAAAAAAAAAAAATTATCGTGGGAAATATCAATTTTACATGAAAGGGGTCCGCCTGAAAGGAGTGCTATCATTTTTGTTACACAGCCTTTAACCAGAGCAGGTAGAATCTTCAGTAGTGCATTTCTGCGCCTGTGCATGTGTTTGTGTGCGCAGTGGTGGGGAATTGAGAGTATCAGAAAGGCAAAAATTGAGTGAGCATGGAATTACAGTTGCAATTTGCGGAGACATCCTGGTTTTGTGCAATTTTCAGCATGAACGGAAAAATTATTCCTGACTTTTTTTTATTCTTTCTGAAAAAAAAAATTGATTCTTTCTGCCGTTTCAGGGTAAATAGAAAATCTTGCAATGTAAGAGTCAATTGGGCTAGGTGATGTTCCAAATGGATTGCAATTTGCAATGGTCTTGGGTTGCAAAAAGGTTCCGTCTCTTCTGCTAATCCATGGTTCCTCTTAGAACTCCTTCGGAGATGAAAGCAATTTGGAAACAAGTAGTTGGTAGATGCCATATGTAATTTAACCTGCCTTGAGGTTGTACTAGTTCTTAGGAGTAAAGTTGATATCAGTGAAAACTCACTCTTCAATTTGCTGAGAGACTTATTTTGCAGGGAAGAGAGGAGGAATACTATTTTCATTTGGTTAGTGGGGAAGGTGTTTTGATGAAGGGAAAATGAGCCCTTAAGGTAAGACCAATCAAGGTGTTGAAAAAGATCTCTTCAGATGAATGGCTTTGAAAATTGGAAGTTCCACAATGATTTAAAAGAGTTAGTCAGGTAAATAATTGTGGCAAAATAGAGGTCATTCGATGAGAGATGTTTAACTTTAGATTCTAGTAGCTCATTCTCGTCTGAGTCTTATTGCAGTTCCCTTTCCTAATTGGACATATTTTCTCTGAATCGTTGAGGTTATTTGGAAGGCCAAGATCCCTCACAAAATTAAGGCTTTAGTTCAGTTGGTTGCTTACAGGGAGGTATACACACCAAAGAGATGCTTTAGATGGAAAGACCTATTGAAGCCCTGAACCCTAACATATTTGTTTTATACCGATCTTAGAGTGAAAACTTCAGTAACCTTTTCATTCACTGCCCCTTTTCTGTTACTCTTGTAGGGACTTTTTGCCATGGTAGATTCATGGTGGTTGAAGTGGATATTCACTTAACAATTAAGACCTCTTTTAGTGGTTTTTTTAAGGGGGAGAACCAAATCATTACATATTGGGTATTATTTGGTGATCTAGACACAAAATAATTCTAGAATTTTGGTTGAAGAGAAAAGTTCCTCTTTGGAGGAGGCTTGGGATAGAATTGGTCTTGGGAGAGAATTGAATTCCTCTCTTCCCTTTGACAAAGCCGGTCTTCAAGTGTTACAACACATAACAGAGGACGATTATGCATGATGGGTATGCATGTAAGAGCATGGGAGTGGGGAAGGAAGGGATCAGAGTACTGGATACATGATATGAAAAGGCAATGATGCGTTGCAGCTGCTAAGTATGTATACTTGTTTGAATTTCAAAGAGGTAGGGTCAGAGGCATGTGATGACACTAGAGGCAAGACTGAGGTTTTAGAGAAGGCCCTGGCAATTGTGCCATATATGAAGAGTTAGGTTGGAACATTGTTAGCATCTAGCGAACTAGGGAATGGGGAGAATACAGTACTTTTTGTGTACGGTTTGATTTTTTCTTGAAAATTAGAATGAGAAATTCATCATGTCATAGAAAATTGAGGACAATCACATTTACATGTTTGTATTTCAGGGGTAATACGGATATTGGTCAGAATTTGGGATTAAAAATACTGTGATGACTATTTTTTATAGATTACAATGATCATTATTTTATTTATTTATTCTTTGAAACACATCATCAACAATCGTTATCTATGTTTTCTACCTCAGCTTGAAATCTTGTTTGTTAACTTCTTTTTCTTTTCTTTTTTGTTCTTTTCCTTCTTTTTTTCAAAATAAAAATAAAAATCTTTCTTTATGTTGAATGGACTACATAGTCTATTAATCTGCAGTATCTATTGTAAATTTGGTTTCTTTTTATCACTGCGGGAATTGTTGTTAACTGCTTCTGTTACTCCTGATAACACAGTTATTGCAAGAACATTCTGATGAAGTCTGGTTTTTGCGCTTTTCGCATAATGGGAAGTACTTAGCCTCATCATCCCGCGATCAATCAGCAATCATATGGGAGGTAGATTTGTTGTATTTGACTGCTAAAATATGAAATAATTTGAACATGTATTCATTACCTCATGGTGTGTATGCATGTCATCTCTGGAAATTTTATTCTCATTGCTTCATCCCTCTTTTAGTAGTAGTTTGTTCTACTAAATTCCTACTTCAATTTTCGTTTAATTTCTATATGTGAACTCTGTAATAGTCTTAATGCCATTTATTGGGGCCATTGCTTGGTGTAACGGTAAAAACTTAGTTGATAAGTGTGAGAGTGCACAACAGTTCATTTGTGCAAAAATAATGTGTTATGCTTTTATTCAGTCTTCCGCTTGTAGCATCCCGCATAGGCAGAACCAACTTTAGATAATGACTTTTACTGTTAATGCCTTCTGCTTATTATGTTATGGATTCTTGATTGCTTTAGAACTTTTCAGATCTCAAGTGTTAATATAATTTGAGTTGCATATTTATGCGTCCTAATTACTTGAGCCCTAGATTTTGTCATTCCACGAGTGAAGACATCTTAAAGGTTTTTCACTTGTATAATTACATTTACTAGAGTGCACAGTTTTATAATTTATTGACATTTTGTAACGCAGCACTTCCTTTCAAGTGTAATGTCATGAACTTTAGAACTTATCTAAAAATTGGTGGGGGTAACATGTAGAATTCAAGACTCAAAAACTTTCAATTTTCAAAATTATCTTGCCCCAGTGTCCATAATGCAAGTCAATTGTTATCTAAATTTTTGGCTTTCATAGGTTAATGTGAATGGTAAGGTGTCCTTGAAGCATAGATTATCTGGTCACCAGAAACCCATCTCCTATGTTTCATGGAGTCCTGATGACCATCAGCTTCTCACCTGTGGGGTAGAGGAGTCTGTCCGACGCTGGGACGTTTTGTCCGGTGAATGCCTCCATGTTTATGAGAAAGTTGGTCTTGGTTTGTTATCTTGTGCATGGTCTGTTGATGGGAAATGGGTAATCTCTGGTGTTACTGATAAAAGCATCTGCTTGTGGGAATTGGATGGGAAAGAGCTGGAGTGTTGGAAAGGGCAACGAACTGCCAGGATTTCGGACTTGGAAGTAACAAGTGATGGGAAACGGATCATTACTGTTTGTAGAGAAGCTGCAATACTGTTACTTGACAGGGAAGCAAATAGTGAGAAGTTCATTGAGGAGGATCAAGCAATAACATCATTCTCTTTATCCAGGGACAATAAATTCTTGCTGGTTAGTCTTCTGAATCAAGAAATCCATCTTTGGAACATAGAGCACGATGTAAAGCTTGTTGCTAAGTATAAAGGTCACAAACGTTCTCGGTTCATTGTTAGATCCTGTTTTGGCGGACTTGATCAAGCATTTATTGCTAGCGGTAGTGAGGACTCTCAGGTATATATCTTCACATTTAAATTCTTTATAAGATTGATGTGAATTCACGTTATATTATAATTTTTATGATTGATTTAAATTCACTGTATACTAGAATCTGATTCTGAATTTGTGAAGAGTAGCTCTTAATAAGTAGATTCAATAGGGTATGTTGTTCAATGCCCCTTGTTGAAAAAACTTGTTTGTGTGTAGAAGGCTCTCAAACCCAAACTAAGCAAACCTGTTGTTTTCCATGTAAAGATTTACATAACTTGCAGATGTCCATAATACCATTTGGTGCAAGCACATTCTTGTTCATGTGTTTTATCAGTTGTGGCTAAAAACTACGTGTTCCTCTGATATTTGATGGCTTTCGCATTTTGCAAAAATGCTGCCACATTGTAGCTGTTGCAGTTGATTAGATCATATCAATATTTGGAATACAGATCGATTGCTCAACATATTTTGATATAATTATTATGCTGCTTATAATTATATTATTTTCTATTTCCCTTTGTTCTGTGGGTAGGGGAATAAATTTTGGAGAATATTTTTGGCAGTTTTGGATTTGCACTATTGTAGTGCCTCCTTGTGTGGTTTTCTGTGGTTGGTATTTCATGAGCTTTACTATTTAAACAGATTGTTATTTTATCAGGACTTTCTGAATTACTACAAGTTGTTTATGGAATATAGGGCCTGTGTGGTTCACTTTTATGAGAACAACTTTCTGTTTCGAGAGAACCGATAAATGAAAAACAGAAGATGGAAACTATTTTCTGGAAATGCCCTGTTTATGGAAACGGTCTTTTTATAGTTATCTGAAATTGACCGTTCAGAGAAATTTAAGGTAACCAAACTGGCTTAAAGAAGCTTTGCACGAATCTACCACACAAGGGGAATTCAACAATAATGCCACTTTCCTGCTTTCATATGTAGTTCTTGCTATGCACTAATTCTGTCCTTGATGTGCAATATGGTGCTTCTCTGCAGTATCTATATCAATTAAAATGTTGAACATCAAATGATCCTAAGGTGCACTCACCGATTTACATAACCCTTTGAGAAATGCTTTAGAAGGTTGGCAATACACGATATGAATGAATGATACTTTTAGGACCCGACATGTGCATACATCACATTTAACCTTAGAGGTTGACCTTATTGTTGATAAACATGATCAATCCAGTTAAACAGTAGGTAGGAATTGGAAGTTGAGTCCAAAGAAACCATGTGCTGGTTTGATTGAAATTGCAACCATTTCTTGTATATTTTAATATTCTGAAGTTCATTAATATAGTTGCCACTTTTGAAGATGAGTAATTTATTACTATATTTGTAGGTCTGTATATGGCAAAGAAGCTCAGGAGAGCTCATAGAGGCTCTACGGGGTCATTCTGGAGCTGTTAACTGTGTTAGCTGGAATCCGGCAAACCCACACATGTTGGCATCAGCCAGTGATGACCGTACAATCCGCATATGGGGCTTAGGTTGTTTTAAGATGACGGCCAAGGGGACACACAGCAATGGTGTCCACTATTGCAATGGAGGAACTTGAATTAGGTCGAGGAAACAAGCATGAAATCTTCAGTCATTGATATTTCTTTCCTTGACCATTGCTTTTGTGTAAATACTTATATACTTTCGTCTTAAGCAGACATTCGTACAAACAAGCATGTGAACTGTGCATCTCATCTGAAAATAAATTATATGTTGGTTCATTTCTAGTATCTGATTTATTAATGGATTTGGTTTGTATTTTCTAATAAGGGTGTGAAGGTATTTTGGAGTAATCTTTGGTGATAATGCTTTTTGATCAAAGCGATTCTTTTTGTAAATGGTTGGTCACATTGTACTTCTTGTTAGCCTATTAGAACTCTTGATTAGGGAAAACATATGTCACACAATTCTTCTAAACAAGAATCGCTTTCACTCTTGTGCTTTGTACAGGCGCGTTGGCTCTCACACTCGCTTTCACTCTAGCTTCATGTGACTTGGGGTAAAACATAATGGTTTCTCAACTATATATTTGCTTATTTGGTTCTAAGGCTAATGGCTAATTGCATGCTTAAAACTAGATTAAATTGTGCTTGATGATCATATTAAGATCAATCAATTTCGGTTCGCTTGTAAAGCTCTCAAAAGGTTACGGAAAAAATAAATCAACAAATTGTACAATACACTTCACTGTTAAAAATAAAATAACTACAAAAATTAAAATTAAAGAAATTTAAAACAATCATAGAAATAAAATACTTTTGACGATGACAGTGTATGAGTCTTTTGAGTGCACTTCATAATCCGCTCTAAGGTACATGTATCTAGTAATATGAAATTAACACACCCCTTCTTGCCTTTATTAGAATTGGTTTAAGATAATCCTAATAGGGATAAAAACAAATTGTAAAGGGAGTTAAAACCCGCAAAGATCGAACCCGTTCCGATTAATAATAATAATTTTTTTTATTAAATAAATAACGTGGGATGAAATTATTAAAAACGATTTTAAAAAGTTAAATATAATAAGCTATATATCCTCATTCACGTGGGAAGAACGCAAATATGATGAGTTTGAGTTTTTCTTTATCCTTATGTTTTATAATTATTTTAAATTTTAACTATTTGTTATTATGATTATTAAGTTTTTTTCTATGCTTAGTTATTTATTTATATGTCAAATATGGATACTCTATTGACATTGGCAAATACGTGTCCGATGTTAAATTTATTCTTAAATTTTAACACGTATCAGATGTTAAATTTAGAATGCGAAAATATAAAATGTAAAATAAAAAGATGGAAGAGAGAAAGATAGATAACACATCATATACATGATTTCTATATCCATGGATCAAGAGCCACTAGGCTACCTTTCTCTTATTGCTTGTAGTACTTGATATGTTTACATTATATTGATACACAATATATAGGAACAAAGTTGCAGACAAAAGGAATAAATCAAAGAGGAAATAAGGAAAGAAAAATAAATCAAAGAGGAAATAAGGGAAAAAGAAAACAAAATATAATATATATTTCAATATTTAATATTTTTCAGATATTTCTTATCTTATGGTATTTCTATTAACAAGTGCGAACATTAAAATGTAACTTTTCTAACAACAATAATGTCATGTTATAATGGTTAAGAAAATTTTAAATTTTATTCAGTGATAAATAGGAATATTTATATTTATGTATTGTGAAAGGAACTTACATGTTATATTAATCATTACATTTAGATTTATAATATTTTTAAAAATTAACAAAAAATTAATTTATATATATAATAAAATTTGTTAATTTTTTTTTTTCTTCATGTCCCAAATTGTATCAAGGTTGGATCGGACTCTCACAATGTAAAGTGGGCCGGGACAAATTGACGACCCTGTCTTGTATATATTTTTTAGTTTGGTAAAAGAATATAAAGGTGAAAGTTACTCATTTTTGAAACCCTTCAAATTTGAAAAATGGACAAAAAAATAAAAAACTGATAATAATGAATTGACTTTATTACTTTTTAATATAAAATTGATGTTTTAATTAACTTTATTATCCTCGGATCAACCCCAACCCCAACCCCTTTCTGTGTGTGTGGGTGTGTGTGTGTGTGTGGGGAATAATAATGGGGAACAAAAAACCTAAAAAAAAATAATAATAATAAGGGAAATTGATGGAGGTCATGGAGATTGTGTGAAGATAAGCTGAAGAAGTGGATATAAAATATATATACTCACATATAAATTTACATATATACTAGAAACAGATCATAAAAGCATTTTTCCTCTCTTCGATTACCGTATTTTGCACATACAAGTCCTAATCTTCTATTTGAATCTAAATAAGCCTTAATCTGAATTTTTTCTGTAAAAATGTGGAGATTTCCATTACTAATTCTGAGTTAGAGATGGAAGTGAAAGCACAAACTTTATCAACCAGAGAAATAGAAGAGGAAGAGACTAGAGAGAGGAATTTGGGGAGAGAAAATCGAAAGAGATAGCAAGTTTGACTTTTCCATATACACAGATACATATATATACACATATATATACAGGCGGCGACGGTGAATGGATCTGCGGCCTTCATCCTTCGATTCCGTCGACCCATAGAGCCTTCATCCTTCGATTCCGACCCAAATTTTGCAAAGATTGATACATATATATGTACACACCCCCTTTCTGTCTCATCCATAACCCATTCACAGCTCCTTTCTATGAATACAAACCTTGATCTGGCGGCGGAGGGATCGCCTTTCCCGCCGGTGTTGCTGGTGGTGTTATAATGTGTGCGTATATATATATATATATATGTTTGCAGATAGAGAGAGGCATGGTGTGAACCGTGTGATAGGGAGAGGAGGAGAGAAAAAACGAATAAGAGGTATTGTGTCATTTTGTAAAGTCTGATATTTTGTAATGTGTCTGAATTTAAAATTGAGGGGTAAATTTGTCTTTTCATATAGCTTAAACCTTGTTTGGATGAAATTTAAGAAAAAGGAATGTCTTTGTTAAAAAAAATGAGTAATCTTCACCTGTCTGCCCTTTTTATTGAACCTTCAGCGTGTAGCTATACTTTACCCTATTTTTTTATTTGGCAAGTGACACGTCTCTTTTTCTCTGTCAAGTCCAGAAAGAAAGAAAATAGTCCAGAAGGTTTTAGAATGCGTATGCGAATCATTCTAAAATACTAGCTTTGTTCTTTTGGGTACGGTAACTAATACAGAGATTTCTAGGGTTTCACTCTCTGTTCTGGACAATCTTGATTGATTGGTGACGAAGGCTCTTCAATCTGTGTTGGGATGGCTCTGAATCCTCAGCTGTTTCCCAATGGGATGCCCGTTCCGTTTGTGAACGAGATGTTCGTCTTGGCCAGAGATGGCGTCGAGTTTGAGGTTGATAAAATCCCAGGGTAAGCAATCTTTTTATCCCTTCTTGCTTTTCTAATTTTCACAATTCTCAATTTCGTTTTTTGGGTTATTTTCTGATGATTATATTTTACTTGCTATTGAATTTTCCCATTCCGTAAGAATTGTGAACACAACCCACCTATGTATTTAGACATACATGTATGTTGATAATTGTGTTTATATATTCCTTTATTTGATTAGGGCTTTTGTATTTTTCAGTCAGCGCCTCATTTTTCTCCAATGAGAATATTCTAGAATTGGTATGGTTGAAGAACGTTTTTTTATTTTTATTTTATATTAAAAAATTGAAAATTTGATCACTGTTTTGTGGGTTTCTATAAGATACCATAAGTTGAGTCCTCTCCTGTTCGCAGCGTGCGCCTATACCATATGTTCCATTGTTAGTTTGTTTGTTAGCCTTCAATTCCTATCATACTAGTTTCATGAATGCGATGATTCTTAATATTATAAGAGATTTGCCCAGACTTGCCCAGACTGAGATCATGAAATGGATTTTTCCTTTTACAAAAGGTTTCCTCCTATACTATCATTTTCCTTAGCCTATGTTGGGTTGGAGGGAAGAAAGGGGACGGGGTGGAAGTGAGGAGGGATGGAGCAAACTTTCTCTGTTAGGTAGAGGGGAGAGGTGGAGGGGAAGGATGGGAGGAGGGATGAATCATCTTTCCAGGTTCACCATTTTGTTTCCATCCAAAAGTAGGAGGAAGAGGGGAGAAGAAAATTTATTGGATTAAATGAAACAAAGTTTATCATCCTTATTTAAGTGTATAGATTGATGCATTGTTGGGGCACTCATTCTATGATTTCTCTATGATAAACCTGCTTTTAAGTGTTAATAGCAACGGTGTGTTAGTAATTGCTTCAGCCTAGTGTGATTTAAGGCCGAAGTCTTGCGAGTCACCTTAGACTAACTTTATTGATTGGTTTTTGGCCTTAATTCAGTAGTTATTCTCTAGCATAGTGCTAAGTGATGCATAGTTAATTGTGTCACGTCACACGTGTCTTCAGCTACTAATCCGACATGGCTACTCAATCTCATAGGATAAGTGTAAAAACTTGTGAATAGAGATAGAAAAGGATGAGACATGTATGTATATACATGTGAATGTATGTTAAGAATATACTTGTGTAATATATGATTAAGATGATTCCTTTACTCCCCTGCCTATTTCTTATATATATATATATTCCAGTGATCAGGATTGAAGTCATAAACCTATATTTCTTCTGTACTTATATATATATATATATGTATTTATTTATTATATATAATTAGATCTGAACTTATATATATATATATATGTTAGATCTATCTTTTTTTGTGTGACATTGTACTGTAACAGATTTCGTTGTAAACTTCTTTAGTGAAATCCTTCTATTTTACGCCTTTTCTCCCTTCAGAATGTGATTTAACTTTCCTTAATAAAATTTATATGAACTTTTATGGCAAGAAAATCATCTCTCTAATGTTTAGGTTTGTTAATCACATAGGTAAGTTTCCTAAAAGTTTTCACGGCATGCTTGAGAATATGATATCATAGACAAGATTGAGATATATTGGAGACATGTTTGGAATTTTTTATAAGTTTAAGCATTTGACATGCCTCTAATATTGACATAGTTCTATCGTAGAAGTATAAATGTTTAGGTTAGAAGCCTTTTTTAGATTATTTTAAACTTTGTTATGGAAACGGGCTTGTATGACTTTTTGAGGTGCACTGCCTAGAAATTGGGGAGATTTGAGGTGTAATCTCTATAAGGCGTTGAGAGGGCAGTCTTTTGTTTTGCTTGACAAAAATATTCTAAGGTGATTTTCTTTGGTTGTACAACAATGGTAGAGAAAATTTGATGTTAGATAATTTGGCCTATAACTATTAACTCTTGAATTGTTATCACATGTTTGAAGGTGTGGGAGTGATGGTGGATCACAAATTGCTTCATTTCCTACTGCATGGAAATAATCTCTCTTCTTTTACCTTCTTTTCTTATCATGCCATTAGGTGTGTTTTATCTGTCATAATTAAAATAATAATAATAATAATGAAAAAGAAAAAGTAAAAACAGAAAACAGGTTTACGAAGCTTACCCACTTGAAACAACAAAACACTGATCATATCTTAACCTTACAGTTTCCTTATCACGAGAAAACAATGATGTTGCCAATCCGACTTTCAATTGGCCAACTAATATATGCCAGTGTGATTATTATTTCTTTATGGTGTTTTATTGACTCTTGCCTTTTACTTTGCTCTCAGGGCTCCCGGAGGAAAATTTAAAGCAAAGGGGACAATCTACTTGTCAAATATACGCATGGTCTTTGTTGCAGATAAACCTGTTGGAAACATATATGCTTTTGATATGCCTCTGGTATGGATAAGTTGTATTTTCTGGCTTCTTGTTTCTCTACCTCTGTTTCTTTTGTGTTATGAGTAACTGTTATGGAATTGTCAATCAAGCTGCTTTTCCCTTGATTAATTTCAATGGTTTCTTGCATTATTTGCAGATGCTTTGGTTTATCTCCTATATTTTGTCCTTTTTAATTTTTTTGGTAAATTACATTGGTGCTTCTGAAATATGCCTCGTCTTTTGACTTAGTACATTAGTCCATTGATGATGGATCGATTCTTTTGAGTATAATATTTTGCATTGTGCTCCTTTGTGTTACACTACTGTCCGGAAGAGTAACAGAAACAGAGAAAAACAGCACAATTTATTATTTAATTTTATGACTAAAGGACCCTTGAATGAATCTTTCCTAGCGCAAAGGCCAAAATCTCTCTTTTCTCACACACTGTCACAATCCTAACCATTGTTGCTTGTACCTACCATCTGATAACATTGACTACAGCCTTTATGAAAACCCAGCCATCACCATCACCATCACCATCACCACCACCACCACCACCACCACCAAACATTACAAACCCAGAATTTAATAATCACCACCAGAGCACCATTTGCCCATTTTTTGATAATTTTTCTGATTAAGTTGTCTGTCCATCCACTACACTAGCTACTCCACTTCTGTACCCACATTGCCATTGTTTCTGGTTGCCCAACAACATGGTCTGGTAAAGGCTAGCTAATTGGCTGTAGTAGCTACGGTATGAAGATGGATTGGATGTGACTAGTAGTTGTGCTTTAAAGATTTAGAGGGGTGGGGAGCTAGACCTGTACTTTATGATTCAGTGGTTCAAACATGACAAATGTTGAGCATGAAATTGGTGAAAGTAAATTATTTTATTTTATTTTTTAGAAAAGAGATATGGAAATGGTTTAGGTTGGAAGTTCAGAGAGAAATTATAGAGAGAGAAGAGACTTAATAGAAAATTTTAATGCCTCCACTTGCTACTGGTAAAAAAAAATTTCTATCTTAGTCCAAGTGTTGACTCTTTCCATCTATATAATAGTATTTAAACCACCCCCACCACCAACCCCCAACAAACAACAAAACCCACACACACAAAGAGAACCTCACTAACAGGGAGGTCAATCTGGGAACTCTTTTCAAAAAGGATAGTAGAATCTTTGTTGAAATGAGAATTCTGAGATGAATGAAATTGTGTCTAGAGGAGATGGGGTTAATAATTAACGTGTACGGGACAAACTAGGAGCGATGTCTATTAGTGATAATATAAGAGAGAACAGATTTAGATTGTTTGAATGTAGACCTATAGATGTAACAGTAAGAAAAGGAAAATGAGGCCGACAAAAAACCTGACATGGGATGTAGTAATTAGAGATGATTAAAAAATATTACATATAATAGGAGACATGTCTCCTATTGAAAAAGAGAACTTGTGATTGACCCTATTGATATGGGACGAAGAAGGATGAGATGATGATGATCTATCTGAATCGTCTCTGTCCAACTAATTTTCCTTAGTATATGTCCATAAACGATCTAGCTTGATCCATATTCCTAGTTAATTTAGCTATGGTTTCTACTAATTTTTAGTTACGTCATTTTCCACCTAGTTTGTTTTGTTTTGTTTTGTTTTGTTTTTTTTTTGTGTGTGTGTGTGTGAGTGATCTTTTGCATTCTCTTGGTATCAATTTTGATGTGTGATATTTTCTAGTCTTATGTATAAAACTCTTTCTTTATTTTGTGTATTTTATCATACCAATCATACAATCCACTTTTTTTTAAAACCATGAATTGTTTTAATTTTCATTCTGGTTCCATTTGTTTTCCGTTTTTTGTTACAGTTTCCGTTACATGTGAGAATGTAATTGTAAAGTTTCCATTATTTGGAATAAAATTTGGATTTGGTTACATTTTTTTTAATTTTATTAGAGGGGCATAAATGGAAATGGGTCACAGTTAGCTCCTTTCTATTTCCTTTTTTCCTCCCTTACTTTATGGCAAATTAGTTATATGATTTCATTTAAGTTGGTTATAAACACGTTATGAATTTTTTTGGCTGCAAGTAAGATATGCCAGGGTTCTTTTCTTTTTGATATTAGTGTATGTCAGCGATGCCATGTCTTATACTTGATTGGTATTTTTATATTTGTTCTGTTGACTTTTAGAGGTGACCAAATCTATCCCAAGTAACCTTATGCATGAAGTTAAGATGAATTTAGTCTGGGATTCTACCAAGATCACCTTCTCATCACATTTATTTAAGGACATGTGTATCATTTTAACTAAGTTGCAATAATGTTGAATTAATTGTGGGGGGTGACCAAAAAGGAATGAGGGAACCATCTGGTGGAAGTGATAATGTGAAATATAGCAGCTATGAAATGTGTGCAAAACAAGCAAATGAGAAAATCAGCTGGAGTTAAATGCTGATGTTTAACACATTGGGGAATTGTATATTTTGAGCCAAAGAGTGTGGATTACTTTCTCATAGTTATATCTTGTGACTACTATGGTGCGGATAGGAGTCGTGGAATCCTTCCATCGGTCATAAAAAATTAAAAAATAAGATAAAAATGAATTAGTGACATCTGGAACACCAACAACAAGTAATGTGATACGATTTATTTGTTACGAAGAATATCCTGAAATGTTCTGTCAACATGATCATAGATGCTTCTGTATTGTTGTAATGAGTTTGAAGGCGGTTGCTGGCAAAAACATGAATTTAGTTAGTTTCCAACAACTGTGATGGAAATTACTGAGTTGAAATTTTGTTGATTTGGCATTACAGTTTGCTGTTATAAAAGGTGAAGATATTAAAATCTCTTCATAATATTATCCTATTTGGTTGGGGCTCTTTTTGGATGTTTCCTTGAGATAGATGAACCCATTCACCCTTTGTGTTCCTTTTTTAACTTGAAATTTATTATTTAAATGGAGATATTTGATAGTACTGGAGAATGAACCATATTTATTGATACTTGCTCAGTTTTAGCTTCTCTTGAAATGACAAAGTTCAACATTTCTAATCTGTTTTTTAGATGGCTACCATCTTCCTAAATAACTGTTCAAGATGATAAATCTTTTGAATTGGCATGATATGTGGAAGGGGATTGGATCATTTGCATTCAGAGAACCTCTATATAAGATGATGGTTTTTTAACTGGCATGGCGTGTGGAAAGTGCACCGAATCATTTGCATTAAAGGATTCCAAATGGTCCCTTAATCAAAATCCTGCAATGCAATGTCTATTACTGCTTTATTCTGTGGCATCTGTTTCTGTGTTTGGTGCATCTTGTAGTCTTCATTTTCCTAGTGACATGCTTTGCTCTATTGGTTTGATGAGAGTTCCTTTGAATCCATTAAAGCTTAGTTCTCCAATTTTTGCTTTGGTTCTTCACAGAATTTGTTATGCAGGTGTGTTATGTCTAGGTGCATGCATTCACCTCTCACCAATCCTATAACTTGCTTCCTTTTGCAGCTTCATGTGCATGGTGAAAAATTTAACCAGCCAATATTCCACTGCAACAATATAACTGGATTTGTGGAGCCTGTAAGTACATGACGAAGATGTTCAGATTTGAGGGCTGTGGCTACTTCTCCTTATTTATAGGTCTGATTTCCATCCTGACCAATTTCAGGTAGTCCCTGATGATCAGAATAGGGCTCTGTACTCCACTCACTCATTCAAGATCATATTCAAGGAAGGAGGCTGTGGAACATTCATCCCACTATTTTTCAATCTGATCAATTCCGTGAGACAATATAATCAACATGCTGGTTCGGGGGCAGAGTCTCATACTGATCCTTTACAAGCAGCGCAAACTCCAGTTGATGAAATGATGAGACACGCGTAAGTGAAATTGGTTGTATCATTTGTATAGTCAATGTGATCTCAGTATCTCACATGAATCTGTTTATTTTGCAGATATGTTGATCCCAACGATCCAACAAAAATCTTTCTGCAGCAGCCCACTCCAGAGTCTCAGTTGAGGCGCCGGACATACCAGCCACAACCAGCTGAACGCGCTATATAATGTATAATCTTTAGTCCTGAATAAATTGTATCTACTTTCAAGACACCAAAGTACACTCTAAACTCTACTACCATGCTTCGTGTAACAAAATTCACTGGTTTTTTACCTTCAATATAAGAAGATTATATATTTCTAGTCTTGTTCTTTGGAAAATGTTGAGTTAGCTAATTACTTTAATACATTGCTTGGTCATGGTGGTGATTTGTGGTGGATACCATCCTTGAAAAGTTGAATAAGCCATCATCAAATGATTTCACTTCAATGAAGAGAATCTTTAAAAGAGGTGAAAAGAAAGAGCAAGTTACTGTTTGATAAATTTGAATTTTTTTAAAAAATAATAATAATAATTCAGCACATAGGAAAGCATTAGCAGGAAATAAAGTTCAAAAGAAGGAAAAGACTGTTTTGTACATCTTTGGAAATAGACAAGAAAATCCAGAAATTAAAAAACATGCATTGCGTTATTTGATAAAATGTAGTAGTGACAGCTCCAGTGTCTTTTCATGGTATCGTCCACCGTAATGTACTTAGCTTCTTAATGACGATTGTCTTGTACATCTTTGGAAGCTATACATTATTTTCTATGAGGTTACTTAGAGTATATAGAGTGCATTCTAGTTATACATCTTTGGAAATAGACAAGAAAATTCAGAAACTAAAAAACATGCATTGCCTTATTTGATAAAATGTAGTAGTGAGTAGTGACAGCTCCAGTGTCTTTTCATGGTATCGTCCGCCATAATGTAGTTAGCTTCTTAATGACGACTGTCTTGTACATCTTTGGAAAGCTATACATTATTTTCTTTGAGGTTACTTAGAGTATACAGAGTGCATTCTAGCAATTTTTTGCTGTATCTTTGTTTCCTTCATATCTAGAAAGAACTTTTTCTTCCCTGCCCCCTCGAAGGTAACTAGGGTTTGGGAAACTGTTAACCTAATTGTAAATCTCTTTAAAGTCTTGGTGTCTATTGTATGATTGTGTTTTACCTACTTTGTTATTCTGTTTATGCTGTTGATTGCATGATGGATGGATTGAATTATTTCTTTGGTAATTAGTTTTTTATATTTTTAATTGTAATTAATTTAGCTAAAATTTAAAAATTAGTTAAACTAAGTTAGTTAGGGTATATATCATGGCCCTTGTGAGTTGTGCCTGCTTGGTCATGGAGCTTTCTCCTCACCGGAGCTTGACGTGGCGTCCAAGATCTTGTAACAGAGTTGCCCATGGCTTAAGCAAATGGGCTGCTCAGATTAAAATGGTGAGGTTGACTGGGACATTTGGCCCTAGTGGTTGTTGGATCCATTGATGGATGATTGTAGTTTCTCATTGGTTGATTAATACGAGTAATATTTAGGTTTGTGTTTAATATATATATATATATGGGTGTACTAGAGAGAGTGATGTGTATGCACGGAAGTGTTTTGAGTGAGTGAATGAAGTCTCTGGGGATTTGATCATGTGATCAGTAGTAGTATTGGAGATAGTTCTGGGTGAGTGCATGAAATCTACCAAGTATTTTGTGTACAGGTGCGAGTGTATTTGTATATGAGTATTCTTTGTGACACACAGAGATGCATATAGGAATGGTTATATGTCCATGGAACATAATGTTAGGAATGGTTATATGTGTATGGAACATAATGTACGAGCGTGAGAGAGTAGGGGGAAGCTGCAAATGGTGAGAAAAAATTCATGAAGTTGCTAGTAACTAGTTTACTGCTCTACTGAATAGCCGGAGTAATAGGGGTGCACAAAAATATCGTTGGAACCATACTGAACTGTTGCTTCGGTTCGGTTATCTGCGATTCCAAAATAAGGAACTATTATTTTTCCTTATTATTTTACAATTCTGATTTCAGTATCAGATCTATTAGAACTGAATCGAACTGAACCATTATATATATATATATATATATATATATATATATATATGAATAAACAAAAATATAACATAAGTCACAAAAGTAAAATTGGTATTTTTTAAATTAATATAAAAATTTTACTAGTTCATTTGATTTTGGAATTGTTACATATGTATACATCCCAATTTCTTTGACGAATTTTTTTCTATTTTGCTAGTTAGTTAGAATTGGTCGGTACTTTTTGTTCAATCAAAAAAGTACTGTTCATAAGAAGACCTCTTCTTCTAAGAACGCCCGATTTAGATCAAAGAAGTTAAAGACACCCTCATTTATTTGAAATGGTTCCGCCTGAAGTTAGCACAAACGGGTATGGTCATTGAGCCGCCCACCTGATATATCCTCAAAGGTTCTAATGGGAAGGTTTAGTTTAATTGGAAGTAGAGATAATTCAAAGTTACACATAACAAACTTCAACTAGAAAGTTACACATAACAAACTTCAACTAGAAACCTATTACAGGTTTAGTTTAATTGAGAGCGTTATAGATCACTCTGTAGTTGTAGATCACTCTGTAGTAGGTCCCCATCGTTCAAGGCCACTTGAACTGTTCTTTTATGGTAAGCCAACTGTGAATCATATATCAAAATAAATTTAAAATTAAATTACAAAGTATTAGATTTATCTTCCAAACTCTAGATTTTGAGATACCCGCTCCTTATATAGGCATGTCTCTCTGGGATGTATGGGTAAGATTTATTCTCTCTAACTTTATAGCTATCTAGATATTTAGAACCTCAGTAAAAAACAAAATCTCCACTCTTCTAAATATTCTCTAATCTACAAATTCTTATAATTGTTTAGAAATTCTTTGCAATACTTTACAATTTTCTATACAAATCTAAAATACTTTAGAAACTTGCTGAAGTTCTCCTCAACGTTGACATGTGGCCAACGTGACACAACTTCCTTGCATGTTGGCAGAATTGGTAACTTGATTGCAGATGGGTTGTTCTACACTCTCTTATTCCTTTGTATCCTGTGGCTATCCCAAAAATAATAATAATAATAAATAAATAAATAAAAAGAAGAAAAAAGAAAGAAGAAAAGTCATTTTTTTATCTAGTACAAAAAAACTGAGTACTTACCAAATGGTGAGACACAGCCTCTTACTGCATAACCTTCTTTCTCTCTCCCTCGGAATCTCTTATATTTCTTACCTTCACTCTATTTCGAATGGTATTACTTCCTCATTTTGTTTATAGAACGTATAGATATGCATCAAATATCAAATTCCATACATTTTTGTTTTGATTATATAACAAGTCATTGTCGCCGTCATCATCCTAACATTACATATGAATGAGGGTGGACCACATGATTATTATTATTATTATTTTTTAAGTCTTTTTAAATTACTTCATTTGTAAGTTTTGATCAGCCTCTTGGTTGGTTACCTTTTAAGTGAACGTCTCTTTTTTTTTTAACAAGTGTATTATAGGGTTTACTTGAATATGACCATATCGTCTAAATATAATTTTTCAATTTTATATCATTTATAAGCGTTAAATTTAATGTTTCCCCTCACACATTCATTTATTTATTTTATCTCTTCTACCTATTCCTATCTATCATCCAACATAACATCCTTATTTTCGCTACATCGAAAACTTGTATTTGTGCCTTTCTTTTCTTTTTTTCTTTTTTTTAACGCCTGCCTTATTTGATAAAATCCAGCAGTGACAGGTCCAGTATCTTTTCATGGTATCACACAACTGCTTTGTCCATTAAGGTTATACAGAAGAAATCGTTACTTCGACATTCTCGTTTTTTAACTAATAGGATTTTATTTTAAGGGGGCACAGTTCGCTTATTGAAATATATATATATATATATATATAATAAAAAATAAAAATGTATGACAGATATAATTTTTTAATATCAGAAGGCAAATAAGAAAAAAAAAAAAAATAGTTGTAAAATAATATGTTAAATAAGTATTGTAAAAAAAATTATACTTTGACAAATATAAGAATCAAAATATTGATTAATAATATTTTAATTAAATATAATCACAAATGTCTTCGAAAAAAAGAAAAAAGAGGAAAAAATGGTAAAATACATAATTATATATAAGTCTCCGTTTGATTAGATGGAAATAAGCAAGAAAAGAAATGAAATGAAAAATGAAAGAAAAGTGAAGTGAATGGAAAAAAAATTATTTTCCAGCATGCATTTGGTTAGAATGAAGTTTTTTAAAGAAAATTGTAGAAAAATATTAATTTGTTATTTTGGATAGCATGAAAGTGAAAAGAAATCGATTAAAGATACTAAATTTACCCTTATAATTTTAAATACTAATAAATAAATGAATTTGTATTTGTTGAAGTCGATTTTTAGCAAAGAAATAGTAAAATAAAGGATTATTAAATTTAATAATATAATTATTTATAATTAAAATAAGACTTCATAATATTTTCTAAAGCAGAAGTAGAACTAATTATTAGTGTATGAGAAATGAAACTTAAAAAAAACACGGAGATGTATTGATGGCAATACTAATTTTTTTTAGAGAAAGATTTGATTATATTTTGTTGTTGCCAATTATATATGGACTTGTGCAAAAAAATAAAAATAAAATAAAAAAATGGCTGAAAAAAAAAGAAGCTGTTTTTGAGAGAACTTGCCTCTTAGAAATTAATCTAGTACAAAAATAAAATGAGGAAATTATTTTTCATGATTAAGTTAATAGGTAAAATAGGAATGTCAAGTAAAAAGGCAAACATTTCACGCGAAAAAAATTATTTCCCTGTGTTTTATGTATGAAAAGTTTTGAGAGAAAATAGACAAGTATGGAAATAAAATTTTCCATTAATTTTCTCTTTCTATCTATCCACCTAACCAAACAAAGCTAAGTGAAAAAAGAATTTTTTTGAAAAAGGAAACAAAAATTAGAAAAGGAAAAATATATGGTATAAAGAAGGGGGATATATGTAACTTTTTTTTATTAGAGGAATTTGAAATTTTTGTTTTTTTTTGGGGGGGGAGGGGGTATAAATATATGTATATAGCAAAAATATGTACTTATTAGTAAGTTAGAGCAGGGGCGGCGGACGCGTGCCCCCTCTAGGCCTTAATTACCTCCGCCTCTGCTTTTAACAGCAATGGCATACTAAACCCTTCGCAACTGGAGGAAAAATTTTATTCTTTTCGTAAGCTCGTTCATTCTTCAAGTAAAATATTCTTTTATTTTTACTTTTTCAGTGTTTGGTAAATGTGTTTGGCAGGGCATGTAAAATAACTTGTCAAAAATTAATGAATAAGTTATTTTTGTTAAATTTTAATGTTTTTTTTCTTCGTAAAAATTTACGACAAGCACACTAAAAATATATTTTAGATCCAAACAAACCGACCTCTTTTGGCATCAACAACATTTAGAACCATAAAACTCAAAAGATGCACAAAAGACTCCTCTTGCCAAGACATGTTATATATTTGACCTTTGATCTTTTAAGGTACGAGTGCTTGTCAATCAATCACTTAATTTAAGTAGCATACACATATGGCATATGTATATTAATACATATACTTACATATATAGTATATGCACATATCACGTATGTATAATACACGTAAGTATATATCAAGCACCACATAGGCAGTGGGAACTCCACCATGTGAGTAGACAATCGGAGGTAATCTTATGAGCACACGACAGAGAAATCCGGCCATCCGCATTATGCAAGAATGGGAGTTCCCATCGTCCTTCATTCGAAGCATTTCCATTTCTCCATCAATTCGGATGATCGATGCTCACCGAAGGGCAATATCACACAGCAACGCTCCTCTATTTTTGAATTTGAAAATTTGAAAGTTTTTTGGCTTGGTTGGGCTTGGGCAACTTCTTTTGGATACACTATATTGTAAATGTTTGATATGTGGGCTCTTGCGAAGTCTGGCTCTGGGCCACGTTGCTGGTTTAACTCTATTAAGCCCACTTCTATGTTTCCACTCTTTGTATTAATACATTATTGAAAATAATATATTATTTGCTTCGCGTTCCCACTCTATATTTGTAGTATATACAAATGTATGGGTAAATTACACTAACCTTCCTTGAGGTTTAAGCAAATTACACATAGAGAGCATTTGGCATTTATTATTTTATGAAATTTGATGTGTGTACTCAATTTACACCCTTACCATTAATGAAAATTTAAAAAATGACTAATTTGTCCTTTTCTTATGTTAAAATATCTCAATAATCTTATATGTGGACATGAAATGACAAAAATACAATGAAATGCCATTAAAATGCAAAGTAGATTTTATAATTTTATTTTTATTTTTTTAATGACATTTGATTGGGTTTTTTTAGAGTTTGATTAAGTTTGTTTTTTTAAAAAAAAAAAATTGTTAGGTAATATAGTGTTTAAAATATGAAAAAAAAAACAAAATAAAAATACAAGAGCTTTTGGTTTGATAGATATATATATATTTTTAATAATAAAATTAGATAAGGATACAGAAACACATTTAAAAACCCACCAAAAGATATTATACTTAAATTTTATAGTAGGTGGCAATAAATCAATCACGTGAATAAATATGATAGCAAGTGGCCATAGATCGTGATTATAATTTGGACAAAGGGTTGTTCCATTTAGTGGTTTAATGAATATACGAATATGATTATATTCAGAAAGCAGCCAGAATGAATGAAAATTTAACAGTTTATTCCACCCTCACTTCTAGATTCATATACCTTACCTGCTAAAATTACAATTTCTACAGAACTTTACCCTTTTAAAATATTCTCTAATTTACAAATTCTTACACTCTCTAATATGGTAGAATCTCATCTTTCTACACTACTTTTACAATTCTCCATAAAAATGTAAATAATCTAGAACACTCCACATATGTTGTGCAATTGCCATTTGCCATGCAAAGTCCTCCCAAGTGTTTGTGACACAACCTCAGATGATTGAAAGCTACTTCTACAAATAAAATTAATAATTAATAAATCAAATAATTTTTTTCCCCACATATATGTTATACAAGTCCATCTACGTAGTTACCAAATGGTATAAAACACACTATATAACGCACAGTTTCCTCTCATCTACCTGTGTGTAAGCAAATAATGCCAATTTAGCAAAATATTAGTGCAACAAGTTTATTAGTGTACATATATTTAAGTAATTGGTGCATTTCATCATACATGAGATACACATGCATCCGAAACATGTAGTGAGAGAGGAGCATAGGCTATTCACAAATTCAAATTTGTGTCCTAACAGCAAGAATTCACAAATTCAAATTGAAAGCATCAAAACAGCAACAAAACTTAAAAGAAAGAACAATGTCACTTTAGGGATGAAAGTAACTGAACTTGTCATCTTCCAAAGCATCAAAATGTCCAGAATCAGCTTTCAGCTACCACCACCTTCATATTCACCTAACACACCACAGACAACATTCAAAAGCATCACCTTCAACAATTAAGGATAGAAGCCTTTTTTTTTGAAGAGCAAACCCCCGTGCAAATCGACAAAAGATACCAAAAAAAAAAAAACCATTGAACTGCTTTATTTGATAAAATCTAGCAGTGACAGCTCCAGTGTCTTTTCATGGTATCATCCACTATAACAAAGCATCTGATGTTACATCAAAGATTCCATGGGATATCAAAACACTCCCTTAGATTCTTATTCATCCAGTCCACAGTGCAACATCACAACTGCCTTTGTCCATTAAGGTCATATAGACGGAATCGATACTTTGGCATTCTCATTTGATTCATAATATAAACAAACACAAGCAAAGGAAGTCTATAGTTCAAAAGCCATTATGAGATTTGATTTCATCGTGGCATAATTATCTAAAATTGGTTCCATATTTCAAACTGGATATTAAACATACATAATGACCATTTCTCATCTATCACATATTTACACCAACTGGCAACTGCAAGGAAGATGATAGATAGTCTAATTTGTCCACTACATATACAAACAACTTAGACAATGCAAAAACTGAACTCCTTACATTTCTGTAACATCTATTCTTCATGATACAAATATAAGCCAAGGCCAAACCGTGCACATGCTCTGCAAAAAGCTATTTCCTCAGCTGCAGCAACAGGATCCTTCAGATGGCCGCTACCAGATGATACCGTCCCAGTAGATTCACGGTGTGCCTGCATTAGTATGTCACTCATGTCATGGCTACAATTATTAGAGAGAATATATGCACTAAGCAAATGCAGCTTACTGAAACCTGGAAATGTACGACAAATTACAGGAGAACAAGACATTTCGAGAACATGCTAATGTAATTTACTATTCACGTCACTTGTCGGGCTTACAAGAAAAGTAAAATTTATGGAAATGCAGCATAAGATACTTGGTGAGTCCAATTTTCTTACAGTGTCTCAGATTTCAAGTTGTCCCTACTAAAGGAAAAAAGGATTTAAGTTGTACCACAAGCTACCACAAGAAACAGTCTGGTGGTAACATGGATATCCACAATAAGTTACAAGCATAGTAATCAGAACTAGACCAGACATCAACCTGGTTAAAGGGTTGGAGCGCGGTTCATCAGTTAAACTACTGGGTTAATTAGTTGAATGGAAAGCTATCAATACAAATTATTCTAAATAGGTGTACTCTATAGTTATTCATAATGTTAAATATCTATAAATACTAACTGTTTGAAGAACATCAAAAAAGGAGCAGCGAACTGGTAATTTAATGCAGCTTACGCAACCTGATATTTGAGAAGATTGTCTCATGAAGCCTGGTCTCATATTGTTTCAAGGGAAGCAGATAGGTTACCAGTTCAACCAATAGATTTATCCCAGAATAACATAAATCAACCTGGTTAGGGTCAGCCAGAACGGGCTGTCTTCGTTTTTTAGCTAACATAATCCAAACAATTGAAACACACTCGTTGATGATTTCACTGGTTTCACGCTGATTATATAACCACAACATACTATGTTTTCCTACTTTGATAGTATGTTATGCTTTTAACGTCATTGGCGTATTAACATGAAAACCCTTCGCTCTAACTAGAGAAGAAATCTTATTTGTTTCTTTACAGCTCTTAGCATTAACAACCTAGAACCACAAAACTCAAAGATGCAGCCAAAGGCTTCTGGAGTTCAATACCTTCATGAATCACTTGTTCTAGCTAAAAGTTTTTGAATTATCCAAGAGAAACAAGAAGCGTTATATATTTGATGTTTGATATTTTAAGGTACATGTGCTTGTCTTATCACATATATAATGTTCTTGTTTAGATTTCCAGATTTTATTAATTATAATCAATCACTTAATTTAAGTACCATACACATACACAACGGATATGTATATTGATACACTTGCATATATATGTCTTCATGTTAATTTGATATCAGGTTCATGAGTTGACATTTAGATTAATGGACTGACTTCATATGCTTATACATTTCACTAGAATTGTGATTGGAGTTAGTTTTTGTTATATATGAATATGAATATATATTTATGTAAATGTAAACATACATTTGGAATTGGATTTTTTTTGTTCGGATTAAACATTCATTTGGAATTGAAATAAAATAAATAAATAAAAACAAAATTTACAAAAATAAATTTTCATTTGTCCTACAAGAAGAAAAAAAAAAAAAAAAAAATTAAACACAAAAAAATAAAACAGAAAATGCATTTTAAGAAAATGATTGAATAATAATATTATAAAAATAGAAAATGTATTTAAACAATAAAAAAATGATGTGAAACTCTTTGATAGATAGATATAAATAGGATGTAGATGTAAATATATAATATATAGAAAGAGGACTCAAAATTTACAGGTCAAGGGATAATAATGCAATTTATTTTTTTTTAAATTTTAAATAAAATTGTATAATATACAAGGTATTTACAGTATGGATATTGGGCTACTATACAAAAGCAGCCCAGTTTGGAGTAATACACTGGAGTGATAACTCCCTTTCAAATTGATCTAGCCCATACTGATTGTTGTCTAAAAATAGGCCCAAAGACCATTCAAAACCCTAGCAATCAGAAACCAACTCAATACGAAAAATGGAAGAAGCAGCCATCAGTAACGCACACAAACTCCTCCTGTGTCTTTTTTCACCACCACCATCACCACTAGCCTTCCGGCGAAGGATGGAAGTCTTGACGAGCATCATCATATAGGAGGCGATTGGGAAATTTTGGTGGTACGACATCGGAGAAACAGCGAGATGCTGACAACGATGGAGGAGAGGATGATGACGATGGAGTTCTCTGAGCTTGGTGACGACGACGGACTCGAGACAGAGAGTGGTCGATCGGTTCTCAGCGACGAAGGAGTTGAGGAGTGATTGGGAGGGTTGAGAGAGATCGATTTTTTCAGGTTTGAATTTCATGATGATTTGGAATCGAAAATATCATATCCAGGCTTAGAATTGAAATTGTGTAATTGAGACCCTTGGCATTAAGAATGAATTCCAATTCTATTATCCCTTAAGAGAACCGAAAAAATAAATTGGGATTGGAAGGCAAATTCCAATTCTAAGGGCTCAATTCCAAATATCCGAACAGACCCTTTGCTCTTTTAGAATATTCTCTAATTTACAAATTCTTATAAACTCTCTAGTATTGTAGAATCCTCCATCTCTCTACAACACAGTCAACACTCCACAATTCTCTATACAAATGTGAAAAATTCTAGAACACTCCACATATGTCATGCAAATGCCATGCAGAATCCTTCTAAGCGCTCGTGTGTCGATGGTGTGACGCAAGCTCCATGCATATTGGGGGCGTGACATATAGGTGACTTAATTGGGGAACAGGTTGTTGTTCTAGACTCTTCTCTTATTCCATATAAGTAGTGGCTATCCTAGAGATCCATTGGAAGCTAGTTCTACAAAAAAATTAAAAAAATAAAATAAAATAAGAGAGTAGATATATATATATATATATATATGTATTCCACAACACATGTATGTATGTTACACTTGAAATAAATGTGTTGCGGATCTCCCGAGTTAAATTTGTTAAGTTATTTTGAAATTGCAAATGTTTTCATCCCCTGGTTTAAAAGATGTCACATTAGCATGTTAAACAAAATATTTTTCAAAGGCATCGTTTCGAATGCCAAGTCCATCTGCGCAGATACCAAATGGTATAAAACACACTCTATTACATAACCTTTTTTCTCACTCCCTTGCATCTCCCGAAATCTCTCTTCTTTCTGACATTCTCTTTACGCTTCCCCAATTTCGAACTGGTTTAATTTTTTCATTTGGTTTACATAACTTAGAGATCCATCTGATTCCAAATTCCTAATATATTTTTGTCTGGGTTACACAATTATCTCTCATCTACTTGTGAGTGTAAGCAAATAATGCCAATTTAACAAAATATTAATGCAACAAGCTTATTAGTATATTTATTTAAATGATTGCATTTCATCATACATGAGATGCACCAACTTCTGAAACATATAGTGAGAGGGACATGAGCAATTCACAAATTCAAATTGGTTCCCCTAAGAGCAAGAATTCACAAATTCAAATTGAAGCACCAAAACCACAACAAAACTGAAAGAGAGAACAATATAAAGAGTAAAAGTTATAAACTCAATCCATTTCTTATTCACTCTTCACTTTCATCTCTACTATAATCTATTCTAAGAGGATTGGGATTCCACTAATCTGACCATACGAAGTGAGACCGAGCGTTCTTAAAATGGCTTCTAAAAGTAGAATTGTTCCTTAATAGCTAAGGTAGAAAGCGAAGATCAATAAGTCACAATCCACCAACGGGCCAGTGGCCTAGTGGTTCCCAAAGGAAGGTAAGGGGTTTGAACCTCGATGGAGGCATGTGTGTGTGAGTACCAACTAGGAAAAAAAAGAAGTCACAATCCATTTCTTATTCACTGTTTCACTTTCATCTCTACTATAATATATTCTAGGAGGATTGGAAAAGTATAAGGAGAACTTGCAAACTACGGATATATGCTTTAAAAACTAAGGAAAATGATTCTTGCACCGAATAATTACAGTGAATTGCTAGACCTACTCTTTTAATTGGTCAATTATGCAACAAATAAGGAAGTGGAGCCCTCCACTTAGTTGTATTTCGTATAAATAACCAATTAAAAATTATTCGGTTAGGCAATTCATTGCAAGCGTTTGGTGTGAGTATTAGTACTCAAAAACTAAAAGTTGGTAATTAAGAACATTATAACCGTGGAACCTTACTGATTTCTAGTAAAACACGTAATAATAGAAATAATATGGTTAAAGCAAAAACAGCTAGTAAATGAGATCCTTTTAGTATTTTGCAAATTAAAATTAGAAGTTGACTATCCAAGAAATCAAGAAGATTATGTGTAAAGAACAGATTGAATCAGGAAAATCTATTTGAAATTCCCAAATGTACAGTTGAAGTTTGACGTAGACATTAAGCTACTAGGTCAGTTTTACACTGAAGGTCTGTACATGTAGACTAAAGATTTTTGTGGTGACATGATCCGTTGTCTGAATTGAAAAGGCCAAGAAGGAAATCAAGAGGCATAGTCCAGCAGATATGTCTTCTCCAGATAAACAAACAGCTCTTTTATAATTTCATCTGAACCCAGGTTTGTAGTTACTATTCTTTCATGGACACCAAAATAAGTCATTCTTCTGTAATTGGTAAACTTAAAGTTCAAAGATGGGAAGAGGGTCTGCCTGCCACGACACAAAGGTTGGGTGCAATTTCCAGTCCAATTTTCATTTTAACTCTTAAGGAGCTACCTTCCTGCTGTAGATCATCTAAACACTGGGAACAAACTTGTTTTCTTGTAATCAAGAGACATAATGTATGCTTTAACATTGTTGCCTGTCCAGATAGGTTGGATATAATATGGAAATGAATATAAAATAGCATTTCTACCTTCTTTCTTACCAGAGTTCACTAGAAAGGAGAAAACAAAATCAATGCATCTTTGACGGTAACAAGCTGCATTTGAAGGACCTCCTCACTACGTCATTTCTAGTAATACATAATTTCATCCCCAAAAACACATTTCCAAATCCTTTTATTCACATTCGCCAATGACATTTTCCAGAAATTTTATCATGGAAATTCTCAGCACCCTCTTCTTACTAGAGTTAACTAGAAAGGCGAAAACAACCTCAATGCTCTATAATGGCATCATGCTGCATATTGAAGGACTCCTTCCAATTCCACTAGTAAATTTTTAACAATTGCATAGTTCTTCAATGCTACCTCCAATGTTATATATAAAATATATGTGTATATATCATCTTGCTTTCTGTTTCTCTATATCTCCCTGCAATCCCTGATAATAACTAACTTCTGAATTAAACTTCTTTTTCATTTCTAGAAGATTTTAGTTTCTCCAAAATCCTCTATGGGTTGCCAGTCTAATTTAAAACGTCCTGCTGCATACCACCTTACCATACTTTTTTTTTTTTTTTTTTGACTAGTAAATACCACCTTACCTTTGAAGACCTTTGCAGTCCAGAGATGGAAACGACAATGTCTTTAAAAAAAATTACTCTCCAAAAGACACAACTTGATATTTATGGAAAACAAGCGCTTCTTTTGAAGGGAAAACAAACAAACAAACAAACAAACTTCCCCCAAAACTCTAATGTTTGAAGCCAAATTTTCAGTAGAGCTATTGTTTACATAAAAGGCCTTCAAAAGAACCAGGTACACCTAGTTTTCTTCATAATGCTCTCGATGAATACCCCTACACGGTGAGGCTTGAAACACAGAACTCAAACTTGGGATACCACACTGCATACCACAGAGCCAACAGGTCTACGGTGACATGGACGGAAAGTTGGTTTACTTCCCTCTATTTACATGAACTTACATCTCAGCGGAAGCACCTAAACCATTAATTCATTAACTGATCAAATGATGTAAGAAAATAAAAGCATTGATGTTTCCTTAGAGAACCTAAAACCCCATGCCAGGACAGAAGAAAGAACAGAGACGAGACCCACCATGTACGTTATTTTGCACCTTGCAAGTGCAAGAACTTAAAACCCAACCTCAAGTTTCACAGCAATCCAAAGGTAAAAGGTGAACCTATTCAAGTAAAATGGAAACTCCAGCAACACCTATTGTGATTTAGATAGCTGCTTCTACCTAGTAATTTAAAATTGTGTGTGAAATAGCACAAAGATAAGAAGATAACTATTTAGACAAAGTTTGAAATCGTTATGGAAACTATCTGGTTTAACTTCAAAAGAAGGGAGATTGTACAAGAAATAAATTATGCATACCTTGATAAGTACAGGCTTTTACAATGAATGCAGGAAGAACAATCTAGGATAACTAATAACCTTTAGAATTTCAGCATAAATAAATCTTTGCTGTTTTTACAAGTAATGGTTCAATCAAAGATTGCACTATTCTTTTTTTTTTTTTCCTAGTTGGGACTCACATACACTGCCTCCACTGAGGTTCGAACCCCTGACCTCCCTTAGGGAAGTAGGAGCCTTACACCACTAGGCCACAGGCTTGTTGGTGATTGCACTATTCTATTTCATAATTAACTTGGAAAACACATGAAATTATTCAAACATGTCTTATGCGCATATTTATTTACATTTGATATAGCATCAGTTCTAGTTATTAAATATATCAACTGAAAATTTCAAGCCCTTGCTCGAAAATCTGCATAAGCTACCTATATATAGTGATAGCTTTTAAGTGCTTTTTTTAAGCAATACAAGGTTGTGTGACATGGAACCAATATTTTAAAAATAAATAAAATTCAAAAAAATATAACAAATAAATGAACAAGTTTTCACAACGTCTTAGAAAATATACGATAAGTCAAAGGTTTTGAAATAAAATTTAGTGTGTTTCAATTTGGTTTGATTATGGTCATATGAAAATATTTATTGGACATAAAATCTTATAACATAAAAGAAACTTATCAGATGAAAACACATACAGACACATCGCATCACACAGAAAAGAGACGCACCTCTCCATCAGAACCTCGTATTGTGACACGGTACACCACAGTCACACTTCCATTTTCAGAGAAAATAACATCCCGTATCTCTCCACACCAACCTGCAGAAAGGGTCCAAACATCAGAGAAGATCTGGAAATTTGTGGGTTCATCACTGAGATGGTGAGAAATAAGGAAACCCCACCCCAAATCTGTCTTGTGAAAAAAAAAACTAAACCACCAAGCCCCGCCCCCAACTCGAGGAAAGAGCGAGTTCAAGTCACCTTGCTGTGCACAATTTTGAAGGGATAAAAAAAAAAAAAAAAAAAAAGAAAAAGAAAAAGAAAGAAAGAAAGAAATCTAAAATTATATGCATAAATTTCTTAACATTGTAGTTAGAAATCTAAAAAGAACGTGGAAAAAAAAAAAATCCAAGAATGAAATAGTTATTTATGATCTTGTTTTAAATAATCATAGAGGGTCTGGACAGTACAATTTTTAACTCTCCTCCCAAACCCATCTCTACACCCCGATTAGCAGACATCCAAACCCATCCTAATAGGGGTGGGGCTGGTAGAATTGTCATCTGTACGCATAAAATCCAACTGATGCCAGAGGGCCTAGGTAAACAAACACCAACAAGTCAAATACTGCATATTCCCTTTTCTACCCTAAAGCTCCGACTGAATTAGCATTGGTTATTCTTTGACCTGTACCACATTGATGTTAAGAAGCCTTATTTTTTTTCAGGAAAGCCACCACCCTCTGAGCTCACACAATACACTCAATAGTGAGTGAGGTAAGATTTGCACCTCCACAGTAATCATCTACAGAATTATCCCGTGTAGCACAAGAATTCATAGATCTACATAGTGCAGCATCTCACATTTTCTCTCACTTATTTCAAGGAAATAGAGAAAGATAAACTCATAAAGGACACCATAAGAGAACGCTTGAAAAGGCTTGACACTTTGACAGGTTCTTTTATGTCCTAAAATTGATATACCAGAGGATTGATCTTCTTATAATCTTTGCCAATCTTGTGCATGTTATCATTCACACAAGAGAGGACAACCACAACACAACAATACCACATGAACATTAGAGATGACTTGGAAATTTGCATATCATGTAACTGTGTTTGTGATCACCCAAATGTGTGTCGTCGAGTGCAACATAATTCCAGTCTGACGACCAATAGTTACCGAAGTAACCTAGGGTAAATAATTTGCCCAAAATTCTTTAATTTGTTTAAAATCAGTTAACTCAGCTCATGATAATTACAAAAAAGTTTAACATCAAATTCATCAATACATTTCAATCCAAAGAAACAACAGAACTATGCACGCGGAAACGTAGGGAAAACGCCTAAATTGAAAAGGGGATAAAAGATGACAGGGAAAGATAATTATATGTAATACAATGCAATTCGGATAATAAACCAGGATCACATTTCTGGTGTTTTGACCGATTTGAAAATTTGTAGGTATCTGTATATGAATATATATATACACACACACACACATATTATATGACAAGCCCAGAGGAGCAAATAAACCAGAGATCGCACCTGGAGCATAGAAACTCAACATCCGATTGGCATGGTACCTGCAAATCATAAGATCAACCCAAAATTCCCCTCAGATCAACCATCAGATCGAACACCAAACACAAAGAAAATATCAAAATTTACACTGCGAACCCACAAACAAAGAAATAGGAGTCGTCAAATTACCAGGGTATGAAAGTGGAATTATCACCATCATCAGATTTGATGATGTTATCAGGAATCCTCTTGTTGAGGTCCCTGAGGATCTCGGCGAGAGGCCGAGTGATGCAAGACGACTTGTCCAGTGGCACCACGTAGTTCGAATTCGGCACCGACGTCTTCTTACCGCCATCGGAACCACTGATATTCCTATCCAGAGCCATCACCGGCACTGAAGCTATGCACCTTCTGTTAATTCCGTCACTCCTACCTCCGAAACGGGTACCCATTTTCAACCTCCGATTGGAAATTTGGTGGCCGGAATAGCAGGACGTGATCGCCGGAACACGAGTCTCCGTCGCCGGCATCGTGAATTGTGTGAGGAAACTGCCACTCTGAATGGCCATTTCGACGAAGACGAAGAGGCAAACAACCCTTATAGCGTGTATGTATATATTTATTTATTAGAGAGAGAAAGAGAGAGAGTTGTGTTGTAGATCGGACTAGTAGATGAACTCTTCTTCTCTGTTCCCCTGTAGTAGCTGAAAAAAAAAACGACTTTCACGCACACACTTACACACACATACATATGTGTGTATTTAATTGGGAAGACTGACTTTGAAAGCGGGCTTCAGAATCGGGTAGGTTTGTTGGGGGCGTTGTCTGAAAGAGATTGTGGACTGAGGCCCACAATGCTGTGGGGACCAGCCCATGAATTGGGAGGGTGGTGGGTGGTGGGTGAGGAGGATTGACGAAGCAACTCTTGATCACCTCCTAATTCAATCAAACATTTGAATCAAACATTGGTTTTGTTTTTTAGCCCAAATATGGACTAATGATTTAGATATAATGACAAATTTATTGTGGAAGATTAATGCTATATTAGAAAATAACGAATATTTATGTTGATTTAGGATTAAGTTATTAAGTATCTTGGAGTAACGGCTGAATAAATAAGTTGTTAAGTATTGTATATTTTGTGGGACAAGTACCTACCTCTAAATTATATTTTGCGTATTATTTTTATCTCTATTTTAAAAAAGTGTGAAAAACATTCATAATTTTTTTACATTGTGAAAAAATAACCCTATGATATAAATTAGTATTGTACTACATGTTTTGCCTTTTTACTCTTCCGAAAATATTCAAGGGGTATATATGTTATTAATCTCATAGTATAGGGGTGTTATGTGCATATTACCTTTTTTTCTTTTTCTTTTTTTAACTTTTTTTCTCTATATATATCTCTCAAATTTTATTTTATTTTTTTATTTTTTTGAACTTTGAGAATTTATAGAACACGGATTTGAATTTTTGAGATTTGAATTTACTACTTTTTATATAAAAAAATAAAATAAAATAAAAACCTTTTAAAAAAAAAAAAGGAGAAAAAATCCCAATATCAGTTTGCACTGGTTTTCTGAGTTTGGAAAGATTTGTTTTCTTTAGTTTGCATTTTATTTTTATTTTTTTTTCTATTATTATCTTTTCTTGTCCATTGACAGCGTTCTCCAATAGTGTCATTTTTTGTCATTTTACAAAATTATATATTATTTATATATTTTATAAAATGGTCCAGTAAGGGTAATTTAGTCAACTTAGGGTTTAAATTTGTTAGAGGGGCCTATTTGCACCAAATTGAAACTTTAGGGGTGTTTTTTGCACGTGATGGGTGTGATATGCATTGTAAGCATATTTTGGAGATGTTTTCTGCACTTGACCCTATATTTTGTAAAGATTTATATTGTAATCTCTTTAATACTTATGTGTCGCATTTTATTCTTATTGATTAGTTGATTAAGCTTCTCACTTTTAAAAGAAATTTTTAGCATAAAATTATAAGCATATATTATTAAATGTCATAGGATTTTTGAGTTGAAAAGTAATATTCAAGCCCATTAGTTAAACTTATTTGTTAAAGTTAATACGATGAAAACTAGTCCGCGGAAATATCCTAACTCTTTTGAGTAAGATTAATAACTTACCAGATACCAGTTAACACCAACTAATATATATATATATATATATATATATATATATAATAGAAGTCAATAATTCTCATAATAAATTTATAATTGAGGAGTTGCTAATCGGGTATGTGTAATGTGCGTTTTATATACTACATATATATAGAGAGAGTGTGTTTGCTTTTTTATTTTTATTTTTTATAAGAACACACCTACTACTATTTTAAGAAAATTTGATGTATATATATTATACACACACGTATGCATAATATAGGTAAAGCACACACTCTCTACTATTGAAAATTAATTGGTAAAAAAATACCACTGTGTTAAGATTTAATTAATTGATAATACTATATCAACAAAATGGCATGATATTACTACTCTATTGTAATTCTTATCCTACTGTTTTTTTCTATGAAAAATTGATTAAGAGAATTTGAACTCGCCCCTAAAAAAGTTTATCAATTGAGCTCATAGTGTCCCTGATTAATTGAAGAATTGATAATAAAATAATAATAAGAATAATAATAAATGTTGGTGCTTAAAAGGAAAAATGTAATTGATTAAGTTTTCTTATAAACAATAACACAAGAATTTCCATTTTCTATACAAGCAAGCACTGGTCCAATTAATTAAAAAAAATTGCAAAATCAAGTTGATTATGAACTGCAATAAATATTGGAAATAATTATCTCCTCAAACAGCTTGCCAGAGAACAGCAGTGGACCATATGCCCTAAATGCAAATACACTATTGTTCGCTACGGTTGTTGCCACAACCATATTAAAGGCACCAATATTAAATCATATTACCCACCCAACACGGACTCATTAATCATGAGTAGGCAGTCTCCATACTTTCCACTCCCTGTCACAATAGAGTTTGAAGAATAACATTGAATAATAATAGACAATTTGATTCAAGACTATTTTGACCAAGTCACTACTAGTCTTTTGGTTTGGTCCCAATTAGATTGCAAATTAGTCTTCACAACACATCATTACCCAATTTATATGTTTCCCCATGTTGTTGGGTGATAGGAAGTAAAGATATTAGATTAATTTTTCAAAGTAATTGTTTTAGCTATTAAATTTATGAAACTCCAACTTTATTAGTGAAGGCTTAATGAAGTTTTACATTTAATGTAATTAATCCAATTTATGTAATAGAATTTTAAGTTCACTAAATATTAAGTTATACAGATAGATATATATAAATATATGGGTAAATTACAATGACACCCCTCGAGATTTGTTGTAACGACAGTCATATATATAAGTTAGTCATTTTTTAATAACGACACCCCTTCAGTTTTGCTTCCTTTGACAAAGACATCCTTAGTGGTTTGACATGTGTTTAAAATGACCTAAATGCCCCTTGACTTTTGAAGTGGCACTTTTAAATAGTAAAATTACCAATTTACCCAATCTAAAATGTCTAAAATAACCTTTCATCTCAAGCACCTACCCACAAAGCCTCCACTCCCTCTTCGCAGCAGCAGCAGCAGCACCACCACCACCACCACCACCACCACCACCTCTTCTTTCCTCTATTTATTCTCTTATATATATATATACACACACACACACACTTGTATTACACACATACACAATTATATACACATACAATTATAATCCAATGACAAAAAATTTCTCAAATTAATCACAAAATTTTTTTATCCAAACCAATTTCAATGGAGGCCCCAAAACTGTTAAGACACTATTTTTCTCTCCCACCCCAAATCGTCGCTGCTGGCTAAACTTGGATCCTCAACAAAATCACAATCAACACCAACAGTACCAACAATGGATGATGATGAATCAGAATCAGCCCCCACCCCCACAACAACCACCACAACAGCCTATGTATTACCACCAGCAACCATCGCCTCTAGCAACCGTGCCACTGCAAAAGCTCCAGCAACCATAACAGTAACCGCAAAACTCAGCCGCCACTCAGCCCGCTAGCGCTGACAAGATCCGTTCCGTCTGGATAGCACCGCCGGTCCCAAGGCGACCTCCCTCGCCTTCGCTGTCAACTTTACAGGCCAAACCATCGCTGAATTGGAGCTTCATCAAGAAGAAGTCGTCGAAGTAGTTCGTTATCCTCTCTCGACCCTGATCACAGCCCGTTTCTTATTAAACTCGCGCGTGATACAAGCACCGCTGGTGATGGCCCAATCAAGGCGTTGGACTACACACTCCGAGCTTCAAATTTGTTTGAGCTGTGCACCATCAACGGTGATCCGGACCTGACGATATGCCACATCTCACCTAACCTCGATCTCAGGCGAGTGTTTAAAGAGAGATAAAGAGGATAGAGAGAGGGAGGGTAGAAGGGCAAAAATGTCCTTTCAAGATTTTGATATTTTACAATTAAAATCAATTAAATATTAATGGACAATCTCGTCTTTTTCAACCTATTAAGGGCCTGTTTGGATTAAAATTCTGATAGGGGGTGTCATTGTTCAAAAAATGCCCAACTTGTTTATGACTGTCATTATGTCAAACCTCAGGGGTGTCATTGTAATTTACCCTAAATATATATATATACATTATCCATTCTAAAGTGTATTTCACGTAGCACATTTACTCTCTATTTGAAAAAGTGTGCAAAAAGTGCCTTTAATTTTTTTACATTGTGCAAAAAAAATTTCAATAAAAAATCTGAAATAAATTAGTGTTATAATACCCAGTTTACATGTTTACTCTTTTAAAAATGCCCAAGGGGGTATATATGTTACAATTTCATAATATATGGGTGTTATGTGCATATTACCTTATATATATATATATATATATATATATATATATATATATATATATTTGAAATTTTTTTCTTTATATATTTTTCTAAACTTTTTTATTTATTTTTATTTTTTAAAACTTTGAAAATTTGTAGAATAAAGATTTGAATTTTTTGATATTTTAGTTTACTATTTTCTACTAATTTTTTCTTCTTCTTTATTTTATTTTATTTTTCGTACCAACATTGTTAAAAATAAAATAAAAAATTCCAATATCAGTGTGCACTGATTTTCGGAATTTGGAGTAGATTTGTTTTCTTTAGTTTGCACTATATATTGGTTTTTTAATTTTTCTTTACTTTTCTTTTATATTTATATTTATATTTTCTATTTTTATCTTTACTTATCCATTGCCGACGTTCTCCAATAGTGTCATTTTCGATCATTTTATAAAATTATTTATTTTTATATATTTTATAAAATGTTTCAGTAAGGGTAATTTAGTCAACTTAATGTTTTAATTTGTCAGATGGACCTATTTGCACCAAATTAAAACTTTAGGTGTGCTTTTTACACGCAAGGACATGATATGCACTGCAAACATATTTTAGGGGTGTTTTCTACCCCTCAATTTGAAGTTCTTTTCTTACGTATTCTTGATAAACTAGGGTTTATATATAAATGTAGGAGGATCTGTTTGGGAAGTAAGAAGCACCTTTGACATCTCTTCGTCTGCAAATATTTCTCGATGTGAAAACACAGAGACAAATAGTTCCAGAAATAAAGTGGATCCGCAGGATCCCAAATGAATTGGCTTATTCGACCTATTATATAAATAATAGTCTAACTAACAATAATTA